ACCTCTTATTTTGGGTTTGAAACCTGCTTTTGACAGTTCTTCACCAGAAAACAGACCCCTCCCCCACACACATCCCCCCCTCTCCCCCTGCAGGGCTGAGAACAGGCTCTGCTGGGGGGGGTAAATCCACTCCCTCCCACCTCATCACTCCCCAAATCACAGCCCCCCCCCTTGTCTCTTCATCCCAAATTTCAGCTGCTCGTTTTTCTGGTTGCTCCAGAGCTGACAGGGAGCACGAGAGGGGGATGAAATTCAGGGATGGGGGTCCTTTGGGCCCTTTTTTGGGGGGAGAAGAAGAGTGGGGGGAGCTGGAAAACTCCTGGCTGTGGCTCTGCCCGGGTCAGAGGAGCAGCAGGGACGAGACCCCCAAAGGCAGGGCAAGGGGAGCAGCCAAAGGGGGGGCCCAATCCCAGTGGGAAGATCCCAGTGGGACCAACAGCTCAGCACTGGGAGTGATGGATCAGGCTCAGGCTGAGCAGGGAAAGCACCAGGAATGCTGGAGGGGGGTTTAGGGTTGTTGGACAGAACATTCCAAAGGCAGGGAAACCCCCACCCCCACCAGGACGGTGCCCCAACCTCCATCCCTGGCTCCAGATGTGTCCTGGAGATGCCAGGAACCCCCTGGAGCACCCAGACACCCCTGGAGCACCCAGATACCCCCAGGAGCACCCAGACACCCCTGGAGCACCCAGACACCCCTGGAGCACCCAGACACCCCTAGACACCGAGATACCCCAGGAGCACCCAGACACCCCAGGAGCACCCAGACACCCCAGGAGCACCCAGACACCCCAGACACCTCCCAGAGCACCCAGACACCCCCAGACACCCCCAGACACCCAGACACCCCAGGAGCACCCAGACACCCCAGACACCCCCAGGAGCACCCAGACACCCCAGGAGCACTCAGACACCCCCAGAAGCCTCCAGACACCCCCAGGAGCACCCAGACACCCCCAGGAGCCCTAGACACCCCCAGGAGCACCCAGACACCCCCAGACACCCCCAGGAGCACCCAGACACCCCAGGAGCACCCAGACACCCCAGGACCCCAGACACCCCAGGACACCCCCAGACACCCCCAGGAGCACCCAGACACCCCCGGAGCACTCAGACACCCCAGACACCTCCCAGAGCAGCACCCAGACACCTCCCAGAGCGCAGACACCCCCAGACACCCCAGACACCCTGGAGCACCCAGACACCCCCAGGAGCACCCAGACACCCCAGGAGCATAGACACCCCCAGGAGCACCCAGACACCCCAGGAGCCCTCAGATACCCCAGGCACCCAGACACCCCAGGAGCACCCAGACACCCCCTGGAGCACCCAGACACCCCAGAGCACCAGACACCCCAGGAGCACCCAGACACCCCCTGGAGCACCCAGACACCCCAGGAGCCCCAGATACCCCCAGAGCACCCAGACACCCCAGGAGCCCCCAGACACCCCCAGAGCACCCAGATACCCCCTGGAGCCCCAGACACCCCCAGACACCCCCAGAGCTCCCAGACACCCCAGAGCCCCCAGACACCCCCAGACACCCCAGGAGCCCCCAGACACCCCAGGAGCACCCAGACACCCCCAGGAGCATCCAGACACCCCCAGACACCCCAGAGCCCCCAGACATCCCCAGAGCCCCAGACACCCCCTGGAGCCTCCAGACACCCCCAGGAGCACCCAGATACCCCCAGGAGCACCCAGACACCCCAGGAGCACCCAGACACCCCCAGGAGCACCCAGATACCCCCAGAGCACCCAGACACCCCAGACACCCCAGGAGCACCCAGACACCCCAGGAGCACCCAGACACCCCAGGAGCCCCTAGACACCCCCAGGAGCACCCAGACACCCCAGGAGCACCCAGACACCCCCTGGAGCACCCAGACACCCCCAGGAGCACCCAGACACCCCAGACACCCCCAGGAGCCCCCAGACATCCCCAGAGCACCCAGACACCCCAGGAGCACCCAGACACCCCAGGAGCACCCAGATACCCCCTGGACCCCCAGACACCCCCTGGAGCACCCAGATACCCCCAGAGCACCCAGACACCCCCAGGAGCACCCAGACACCCCCAGGAGCACCCAGACACCCCCTGGAGCACCCAAACACCCCAGGAGCACCCAGACACCCCAGAGCCCCAGACACCCCCTGGAGCACCCAGATACCCCCAGAGCCCCAGACACCCCCAGGAGCCCCAGACACCCCAGAGCCCCAGACACCCCCTGGAGCACCCAGACACCCCCAGACACCCCCAGAGCCCCAGACACCCCCAGAGCCCCCAGACACCCCCAGACACCCCCAGAGCCCCCAGACACCCCCAGAGCCCCAGACACCCCCAGGAGCCCCCAGACACCCCCTGGAGCACCCAGACATCCCCAGGAGCACCCAGACATCCCCAGGAGCACCCAGACACCCCCAGACACCCCAGACACCCCCAGAGCACCCAGACATCCCCAGAGCACCCAGACACCCCCAGGAGCACCCAGACACCCCCAGACACCCCCTGGAGCACCCAGACACCCCTTAGAGCACCCAGACACCCCCTGGAGCACCCAGACACCCCCAGAGCACCCAGACATCCCCAGAGCACCCAGACACCCCCAGGAGCACCCAGACACCCCCAGACACCCCCAGAGCCCCCAGACACCCCCAGAGCACCCAGACACCCCCAGGAGCACCCAGACACCCCCAGGGCACCCAGACACCCCCAGACACCCCCTGGAGCACCCAGACACCCCAGGAGCACCCAGACACCCCCAGACACCCCAGGAGCACCCAGACACCCCCAGACATCCCCCAGAGCACCCAGACACCCCCAGACACCTGGAGCACCCAGACACCCCTGGAGCACCCAGACACCCCCAGACACCCTCCAGGAGCACCCAGACACCCCCTGGAGCACCCAGACACCCCCTGGAGCACCCAGACACCCCAGACACCCCCAGACACCCCAGGAGCACCCAGCACCCCAGGAGCACCCAGACACCCCCAGGAGCACCCAGACACCCCCAGGAGCACCCAGACACCCCAGGAACACCCAGACACCCCAGGAGCACCCAGACACCCCCAGGAGCACCCAGACACCCCAGGAGCCCCAGACACCTCCCAGGAGCACCCAGACATCCCCTGGAGCACCCAGACACCCCCAGACACCCCCAGGAGCACCCAAACACCCCCAGGAGCACCCAGACACCCCAGGAGCACCCAGACACCCCAGACACCCCCAGGAGCACCCAGACACCCCCAGGAGCCCCAGGAGCACCCAGACACCCCCAGACACCCCCAAAGCACCCAGACACCCCAGGAGCCCCAGACACCCCCAGGAGCACCCAAACACCCCCAGGAGCCCCCAGACCCCCAGGAGCCCCAGACACCCCCCAGGAGCCGGGGTCCCCCAAATCCGCTCCTTACGCTGTCGAAGAAGGGGCGGATGCGGATGGCGACGTGGAGCAGCATGGACTGGATGTCCCTCTGCTCCAGGTGGTCCAGCAGCTTGGACAGGCTGGACATGGCCTCCAGGGCCACCAGGTTGTGGGGGTCGTCCTTGTCGTCCATGCCCCCCACCATGGAGGTCAGGAGGGTGGGGCCGTGCTTCCTGACCTGGGGGGACAGGGGGGCTCAGCCAGGGCAATTCCAGGGGGACACGAGGGTGGATCCAGCTGGGATCGGGCTCTGCTCCCAGGGGGAACAGGGGACAGGATAAAGGGAACAGCCCCAAGCTGCGCCAGGGGAGCTTTATTTGGGATTTTGGGATAACCCCTCCTGGGAAGGGGCTGCCCAGCCCTGGATCCCCATCCCTGGGGGGGGGATTGACCATCCCTGGGGAGGTGGCACTTGGGGAACAGTTTGGACTGAAGGAACCTTCAGGATCACCCAGTCCCACCCCTGCCGTGGGCAGGGACACCTTTCTGCTATCCCAACCCCGCCTGGGACGCTTCCAGGGGGGATGGAGAATCCTCTGGGAATCCCATTCTAGTCCCTCCCCGCCCTCCCAGGGAAGAATCCTCCCCACCATCCCACCCAACCCTGCCCTCAGCGAGCCATTCCCTCTTGTCCTGTCCCTCCAGCTTCCCCCAAAAAGCCCGGAGCAGGGAGCTGCTCCCACCTTCTCCGGGGATCCCGAGGCGACGTTCCCGAGCCCCCGCAGCGCCAGCACCCGCACCAGGAGGCAGGAGTCCTTCTGCCGCCCCGTCAGCGCGTCCAGCACCGCCTCCAGCAGCAGCAGGTCGTTCACCACCTTGCTGTTGAGGAGCTGAAGGAGAAAATCTCCCTCAGCAGGAGCCCCTGATCCGTCAGGGATGAGCCTTTTGGGGGGGTCGTTATTCCCGGGAAGAGCCTCGGTTTGTCCCCCTCATTCCCTCGCTCCACATCTGGATCATCCAGAGGGAAAAGGTTGGGGAGCCTCAGCCCCAGCACCCCCAGGCAGGTGTTTGGGATGGGGGCAGCCTGCAGTAATCCCTCGTGGGCGAATACAGAAAGCTTTGGAAGGCTGGAAATCCAAGCTGGGAAGAAGGGAGAGCGCTGGCAGCCAGGAAAAAAACCAGGAAAACCCTAGGGAGGCCAAAACCTCACCCCGAGGTCAGCTGGTAGGTGTGACAAGGTGGATGATGACACTTCCCTGTGGATTGAGAGCCCTGAGCTGACCCCTCATCCCTGCAGATCGAGGGAGATCTGAGCTGACCCCTCATCCCTGTGGATTGAGAGCCCTGAGCTGACCCCTCATCCCTGTGGATTGAAGGTTCCCTAACCTGACCCCTCATCCCTGTGGATTGAGAGACCTGAGCTGTTCCCTCATCCCTGTGGATGGAGGGAGCTCTGAGGGTTCCCTGAGCTGTCCCCTCATCCCTGTGGATTGAAGGTTCCCTAACCTGACCCCTCATCCCTGTGGATGGAGGATTCCCTGAGCTGTCCCCTCATCCCTGTGGATCGAAGGTTCCCTGAGCTGTCCCCTCATCCCTGTTGATGGAGGGAGCTCTGAGGGCTCCCTGTGCTGTCCCCTCATCCCTGTGGATTGAGAGACCTGAGCTGTCCCCTCATCCCCGCGGATTGAAGGTTCCCTGAGCTGTCCCCTCATCCCCGCGGATGGAGGGAGCTCTGAGGGTTCCCCGCACTGTCCCCTCATCCCTGTGGATGGAGGGAGCCCTGAGCTGTCCCCTCATCCCTGCAGATCGAGGGAGACCTGAGCTGTCCCCTCATCCCTGTGGATCGAAGGTTCCCTGAGCTGTCCCCTCATCCTTGTGGATTGAAGGTTCCCTGAGTTGTCCCCTCATCCTTGTGGATTGAGAGCCCTGAGCTGACCCCTCATCCCTGCAGATCGAGGGTTCCCTGAGCTGTCCCCTCATCCCCGCGGATGGAGGGAGCTCTGAGCTGTCCCCTCATCCCTGTGGATTGAGAGACCTGAGCTGTCCCCTCATCCCCGCGGATGGAGGGAGCTCTGAGCTGTCCCCTCATCCCTGTGGATGGAGGGAGCTCTGAGGGCTCCCTGAGCTGTCCCCTCATCCCCGCGGATGGCGGGAGCTCTGAGGGTTCCCTGAGCTGTCCCCTCATCCCCGCGGATGGAGGGAGCTCTGAGGGTTCCCCGCGCTGTCCCCTGATCCCCGCGGATGGAGGGAGCTCTGAGGGTTCCCTGCGCTGTCCCCTGATCCCCGCAGATCGCTGGAGCCGCTCCCAACCCTTTCCCCTCCTCCCCTGGGCCGCGGCCGAGGCAGCTCCGCTGTTCTCTCCCCTCACAGACCCAGCCGGCGCTCCGAGAGCCGCGGTGGAGTCCGGGCCGGGCTCCAGCAGTGCCGGGAGCCGCTGGAGCAGCCGGGAATTCCAGCGGTGGTTCCTGGAGCCCGCTGGCACTGGGGGTGAGGATTAGGGGGGTGTTTTGTGTAACCGGAGCCGCTCCGGCGGCGCCGGGAGTTGGGTTTCGCTCTCCTGGATGCGGGAGCCGGGGAAAGGACTTTGAGTCATCCCATTGAGTCATCCCATTCCTGGGGTGCTGCGTAAGGCACGGGGATGGAGGGGTCGGGGGGGGCGGCGCTGGCTCGGCCGGGACGGGCTCGGAGCGGGGAGAGCGGAGCCCAGGGCAGGGAAAAGCGGGAGCTCCACCGGCATCCCCCAGGGATGGATCTGGGATGGAGCCGGGATGGAGCCGGGATGGATCTGGGATGGATCTGGGATGGAGCCGGGATGGATCTGGGATGGATCTGGGATGGATCTGGGATGGATCTGGGATGGACCCGGGATGGACCCGGGATGGACCTGGGATGGATCTGGGATGGATCTGGGATGGACCCGGGATGGACCCGGGATGGACCCGGGATGGACCTGGGATGGATCTGGGATGGACCCGGGATGGACCTGGGATGGATCTGGGATGGAGCCGGGATGGATCTGGGATGGATCTGGGATGGATCTGGGATGGATCTGGGATGGACCCGGGATGGAGCTGGGATGGACCCGGGATGGACCCGGGATGGATCTGGGATGGATCTGGGATGGATCTGGGATGGATCTGGGATGAGCCCAGTGCTCACCTCAGCGAAGAAGGCGGTGGCCGTGACCCTCTGGCTGTCGAAGGCGCTGCTCAGGGCGGGCATGAGGTTCTTCACGATCAGGGGCAGCCGCGGCCCCGCGTGGCGAGCCATGGCCCTGCCGGGGGAACGGTGATTGGCACACCCACCCATCCCCATCCCCACCCCCACAGATGGCACTGCCATCCCACGGGGGTCTCAGAGCCATGGCCCTGCTGAGGGAATGGTGAATGGCACACCCACCCACGGAGGGCACTGCCATCCCACGGGGGGCTGTGAGCCATGGCCCTGCCGGGGGAACGGTGATTGGCACCCACCCACCCACGGAGGGCACTGCCATCCCACGGGGGTCTCTGAGCCATGGCCCTGCCGGGGGAACGGTGATTGGCACCCACCCATCCCCACGGAGGGCACTGCCATCCCACGGGGGTCTCTGAGCCATGGCCCTGCCGGGGGAATGGTGATTGGCACACCCACCCATCCTCATCCCGACCCCCACGGAGGGCACTGCCATCCCACGGGGGTCTCTGAGCCATGGCCCTGCCGGGGGAACGGTGATTGGCACACCCACCCACCCACGGACGGCACTGCCATCCCACGGGGGGTCTGTGAGCCATGGCCCTGCTGGGGGAACGGCGATTGGCACACCCACCCACCCACAGATGGCACTGCCATCCCACGGGGGTCTGTGAGCCATGGCCCTGCCGGGGGAACGGTGATTGGCACACCCACCCACCCACGGACAGCACTGCCATCCCACGGGGGCTGGGGGCCATGGCCCTGCCGGGGAACGGTGATTGGCACACCCACCCCCACCCACCCCCACGGAGGGCACTGCCATCCCACGGGGGGCTGCGAGACATGGCCCTGCCGGGGGAACGGTGAATGGCACACCCACCCACCCACGGAGGGCACTGCCATCCCACGGGGGGCTGGGGGGGCCAGGGAGTCCCCCCCGAGCCCACGGGCTGCTGGGTGGGACAGCCCCCAGCTCGGCAGAGAGAGTGGCACTGGCACTGTCCCCTCTGGGGGGACTGGCACTGGCATTGTCCTGCCCTGGTGGCAGGACAGCCCCAGTATGAAAACACCACTGGCACCAGTATTGTCCCCTCCTGCCACCAGGGCAGGACACCCCCAGTATGAAAACACCAGTGGCACCAGTATTGTCCCCTCCTGCCATCAAGGAGGACACTCCCAGTATGGGAACACCAGTGGCACCAGTATTGTCCCCTCCTGCCACCAGGGCAGGACACTCCCAGTATGAAAACACCAGTGGCACCAGTATTGTCCCCTCCTGCCACCAAGGCAGGACACTCCCAGTATGGGAACACCAGTGGCACCAGTATTGTCCCCTCCTGCCACCAGGGCAGGACACTCCCAGTATGAAAACACCAGTGGCACCAGTATTGTCCCCTCCTGCCATCAAGGAGGACACCCCCAGTATGAGAACACCAGTGGCACCAGTATTGTCCCCTCCTGCCATCAAGGAGGACACTCCCAGTATGGGAACACCAGTGGCACCACCCTGGCACTGTCCCCTCCTGCCACCAGGGCAGGACAGTCCCAGTATGAAAACACCAGTGGCACCAGTATTGTCCCCTCCTGCCATCAAGGAGGACACCCCCAGTATGAAAACACCAGTGGCACCAGTATTGTCCCCTCCTGCCATCAAGGAGGACACCCCCAGTATGAGAACACCAGTGGCACCAGTATTGTCCCCTCCTACCACCAAGGAGGACACCCCCAGTATGGGAACACCAGTGGCACCAGTATTGTCCCCTCCTGCCATCAAGGAGGACACCCCCAGTATGAGAACACCAGTGGCACCAGTATTGTCCCCTCCTGCCATCAAGGAGGACACTCCCAGTATGAAAACACCAGTGGCACTGGCACTGTCCCCTCCTGCCACCAGGGCAGGACAGCCCCAGTATGGGAACACCAGTGGCACCACCCTGGCACTGTCCCCTCCTGCCACCAGGGCAGGACACTCCCAGTATGAAAACACCAGTGGCACCAGTATTGTCCCCTCCTGCCACCAGGGCAGGACACCCCAGCATGAAAACACCAGTGGCACCAGTATTGTCCCCTCCTGCCATCAAGGAGGACACCCCCAGTATGAGAACACCAGTGGCACCAGTATTGTCCCCTCCTGCCACCAGGGCAGGACAGCCCCAGTATGGGAACACCAGTGGCACCACCCTGGCACTGTCCCCTCCTGCCATCAAGGAGGGTACCCCCAGTATGAAAACACCAGTGGCACCAGTATTGTCCCCTCCTGCCACCAGGGCAGGACACCCCCAGTATGGGAACACCAGTGGCACCAGTATTGTCCCCTCCTGCCACCAGGGCAGGGTTTGGAGCGCCCTGCACGGCCCTGGCAGCCTCAGGGCTGGGTTTTGTTTTGGATGGGACGCTCTGGAGCGTCTGGGAGGTTTAATAAAAGTGGGGTTTTTTTTGGTAAATGCTGGAAAATCCCAAACCGTGGGATCCAAGAGCTGTTCCGGGCACCGGGAGGGAGCGGGGAGGCCCCAGATGAACCGGGATGGGGGGGTCCTGTCACCCCCCTCCCCCACCAGGGAACACAGGCAGGTGCCAGCTGGGCATCCTCTGGGAATGATGGGATGGGCTGGGACACCATAACGGGACCGGGGACACCGGGAATCCCACGGAGGGACTGATGACACCAGGGAGGACTCCCCAGTGGGACCAGTGACTCCCCAGTGACACCAGGGACTCCCCAGTGGGACCAGGGACTCCCCAGTGGGACCAGTGACACCAGGGACTCCCCAGTGGGACCAGTGACACCAGGGACTCCCCAGTGACACCAGGGACTCCCCAGTGACACCAGGGGCTCCCCAGTGGGACCAGTGACACCAGGGACTCCCCAGTGACACCAGGGACTCCCCAGTGGGACCAGTGACACCAGGGACTCCCCAGTGACACCAGGGACTCCCCAGTGACACCAGGGGCTCCCCAGTAACACCAGTGACACCAGGGGCTCCCCAGTGACACCAGGGGCTCCCCAGTGACACCAGTGACACCAGTGACACCAAGGACCAACCTCCCCCTGCCACGGGCTCCCCGTGGCTGCTCCCAGCCAGCCGGGCCCCAAATTGCTCCCCCCACGCTGGGCACTAAATCCCAAAACCCACGGAATGCCGTCCTGGTTTGGGGCGGGGAGGGGCCCTCAGAGCCCACCCAGTGCCCCCCCCTGCCAGGGAAGGGCTGCTGGGACGGGGGAGGGGGCGGTGCCAGGGCTTACCTGGTGAGCAGGGGGCGGTGCCAGGGCTTACCTGGCGAGCAGGGGGTGGTGCCAGGGCTTACCTGGCGAGCAGGGGGCGGTGCCAGGGCTTACCTGGCGAGCAGGGGCGGTGCCAGGGCTTACCTGGCGAGCAGGGGCGGTGCCAGCCCTTACCTGGCGAGCAGGGGCGGTGCCAGCCCTTACCTGGTGAGCAGGGGCGGTGCCAGCCCTTACCTGGCGAGCAGGGGCGGTGCCAGGGCCTTACCTGGCGAGCAGGGGGCGGTGCCAGGGCCTTACCTGGCGAGCAGGGGCGGTGCCAGCCCTTACCTGGCGAGCAGGGGCGGTGCAGCAGCGGGCGCTTACCTGGCGAGCAGGGGGCGGTGCCAGCCCTTACCTGGCGAGCAGGGGCGGTGCCAGCCCTTACCTGGCGAGCAGGGCGGTGCCAGGGCTTACCTGGCGAGCAGGGGCGGTGCCAGGGCTTACCTGGCGAGCAGGGGGCGGTGCCAGGGCTTACCTGGCGAGCAGGGGCGGTGCCAGGGCTTACCTGGCGAGCAGGGGGCGGTGCCAGGGCTTACCTGGCGAGCAGGGCGATGCCCTCGTGGTGCCTCTCCGGGCTGCCCAGGAGCTCCCAGCCCCCGGCATCGCCCACGGCCCGGACCACGTCCTCGCTGCCACCCCGCAGCAGCGTCACCCGCAGCGTCTCCACGGCACAGCTGAGGAGGGAAGGGCAGCACGGCTTGGGCTCGGCTCAGCTGGGCTTGGGCTCGGCTCAGCTGGGCTTGGGCTCGGCTCAGCTGGGCTCAGCTGGGCTTGGGCTCGGCTCAGCTGGGCTCAGTTTGGGCTGTTTGGCTCAGTTTGGCTCAGCTGGGCTCACTTTGGGCTGTTTGGATCAGCTGGGCTTGGGCTCGGCTCAGTTGGGCTCAGTTTGGCTCAGCTGGGCTCAGTTTGGCTCAGCTGGGCTAAGCTGGGCTTGGTTTGGCTCAATTGGGCTCAGCTGGGCTCAGTTTGGCTCAGCTGGGCTCAGTTTGGCTCAGCTGGGCTCAGTTTGGCTCAGCTGGGCTCACTTGGGCTCGGCTCAGCTGGGCTCAGTTTGGGCTGTTGGGCTCAGTTGAGCTGGGTTTGGGTTCAGCTGAGCTGAGTTTGGGCTCAGTTTGGCTCAGCTGGGCTCAGTTTGGTTCAGCTGGGCTCAGTTTGGTTCAGCTGGGCTCAGTTTGGCTCAGCTGGGCTCAGTTTGGCTCAGCTGGGCTCAGTTTGGGCTGTTTGGCTCAGCTGGGCTTGGTTTGGCTCAATTGGGCTCAGCTGGGCTCAGTTTGGCTCAGCTGGGCTCAGTTGAGCTGGGTTTGGGCTCAGCTAAGCTGAGTTTGGGTTCAGTCGAGCTGAGTTTGGGCTCAGTTGGGCTCAGCTGGGCTCAGTTGAGCTGAGTTTGGGCTCAGTTGAGCTGAGTTTGGCCTCAGTTGAGCTGAGTTTGGCCTCAGTTGAGCTGAGTTTGGGTTCAGTTGAGCAGAGTTTGGGTTCAGTTGAGCTGAGTTTGGGCTCAGTTAGGCTTAGTCTGGCTGTTTGGTTCAGTTGGGCTCAGTTTGGGCTTGGTTGGGCTCAGTTTGGGCTGTTTGGCTCAGTTTGGCTCAGTTGGGCTCAATTTGGGCTGTTTGGCTCAGCTGGGCTCAGTTTGGCTCAGCTGGGCTCAGTTGAGCTGAGTTTGGCCTCAGTTGAGTTGAGTTTGGGCTCAGTTGAGCTGAGTTTGGCCTCAGTTAGGCTCAGTTGGGTTCAGGTTGGGCTCAGCTGGGCTGTTTGGCTTAGTTTGGGCTCAGTTTGATTGTTGGGCTCAGTTTAGCTCAGTAAGGCTCACTTTGGGCTCAGTTGGGCTACGTTTGGGCTCAGGTTGACCATTTGGCTCAGTTGGGCTCCATTTGGGCTCAGTCTGGCTCAGTTTGGGCTCAGTTGGGTTCAGTTTGATTGTTCAGCTCAGTTTAGCCTCAGTAAGGCTCAATCTGGGCTCAGTCTGAGCTCAGTCTGGGCTCAGTCTGGCTCAATTTGGGCTCAGTTTGACCATTTGGCTCAGTTGGGCTCAGTTGGGCTCAGTCTGGGATGAGGGATTGGTGGGGAGGGGGGGAGTTGTCCCCACTGGGGAGCTCCAGGAGGGTGGGGAATCCCAGGAACCACAAAGAACCCTCAGGAAGAACACCCAGGACACTGCTGGTCAGTCCCAGTGTGGGATGAGGGATTGGTGAGGAGGGGGGAGTTGTCCCCACTGTGGAGCTCCAGGAGGGTGGGGTATCCCAGGAGCCACGGATTGCCCTCAGGAAGGACACCCAGGACACTGCTGGTCAGTCCCAGTGTGGGATGAGGGATTGGTGGGGAGGGGGGGAGTTGTCCCCACTGGGGAGCTCCAGGAGGGTGGGGAATCCCAGGAGCCATGGATTGCCCTCAGGAAGGACTCCCAGGACACTGCTGGTCAGTCCCAGTGTGGGATGGAGGGTGGAAAATCAACCCTGCACACACAGAAACCCCCCCTGAGCACCCAGAGGGCCCTCTCTGACAGCTGGAACATCATCCCTGGCTTAACTGGAGTCAGGGATCCCCGAGGTTTCCCAGCCCTCAGCGATTCCTCGATCCTCAAAGCTGAGCCCCTGCCCATGGGAGAGGCACAGGGAGCAGGGAAGGACAGGAGCACCAGCCAGGCTCGCTCTCCTGCCCTGGATCGTGCCCAGAACGAGAGCTCTGGGCCGGATTCCCCACGGAAAAGCCTCCAACCTGCCCTGAAAAGCCCCCAAGGAGCCCAGGGAGGGGCCAGTGGGTTCCTGCAGGAGCATCCCCCCTGTTAATGATGGCAAAGGGAAAAGCAGGACCAGGAAAGGGCCCAGCTCAGCTCCCAGCAGGAGTTTCCCCCTGTTAATGATGGCAAAGCAGGACCAGGAAAGGGCCCAGCTCAGCTCCCAGCAGGAGCTCCCCCCTGTTAATGATGGCAAAGCAGGACCAGGAAAGGGCCCAGCTCAGCTCCCAGCAGGAGTTCCCCCCTGTTAATGATGGCAAAGGGAAAAGCAGGACCAGGAAAGGGCCCAGCTCAGCTCCCAGGACTGGCAGGGAGCCCTCAGGGCACCTCAGGCCATCAGGAGGTTCAAGGAATTAATTACTAATTAAGGAAAACCTCGGGCAGGAGGACTCATCACAGTCTGCCCAGGACAATCTGGTGCCTGGAACAGCCACGGGATCCTGGCAAGGTTTGGGTGGGAAGAGGCTTAAAGATCATCTCATTCCAGCTCCCTTCCACTGGCAGGGACAGCTCCCACAGCCCAGGGTGCTCCAGGGACACTTCCAGGGATCCAGGGGCTGCTCTGGAATCCACAACACCTCTGGATCCACCTTCACTCCTCCCTCCTTTTGGGATCCTGGGGGCTCTGGCCCAGTTCTGTGCAGATTCCCAGTTTAACTCTTCCCAATTTAAACCTCAGTGTCCTGCAGCTGAAAAAACCCCAACCCCTCCCAATCTACCCCCTCCCAATCCCAAACCTCATGGGCAGACCATCAGCCCATTGACCCCAGGCTGTTCTTCCTCCAGTGCCAGCCCAGTACAGGATGGTTTTACACCCCAAAACCAGTTCCTTTGGTTCCATCCACACCCAAAACCCAGTTCCTTTGGTTCCATCCCAGCACAGGCTGGTTCTGCACACCTAAAAACCAGTTCCTCCAGTTCCATCCCAGCACAGGCTGGTTCTGCACACCCAAAAACCAGTTCCTCCAGTTCCAGCCCAGTACAGATTGGTTCTGCACACCCAAAAACCAGTTCCTTTGGTTCCATCCCAGCACAGGCTGGTTCTGCACACCCAAAAACCAGTTACTCCAGTTCCATCCACACCCAAAAACCAATTCCTCCAGTTCCAGCCCAGCCTGGGCTCGGTTTACACCCCAAAAACCAGTTCCTTTGGTTCCATCCCAGCACAGACTGGTTTTGCACACCCAAAAACCAGTTCCTCCAGTTCCATCCACACCCAAAAACCAGTTCCTTTGGTTCCATCCACACCCAAAAACCAGTTCCTCCAGTGCCAGCCCAGTACAGGCTGGTTCTGCACACCCAAAAACCAGTTCCTGTGGTCACATCTGAACCCAAAAACCAGTTCCTTTGGTTCCATCCACACCCAAAAACCAGTTCCTCCAGTTCCATCCACACCTAAAAACCAGTTCCTTTGGTTCCATCCCAGTACAGGCTGGTTCTGCACACCCAAAAACCAGTTCCTGTGGTCACATCTGAACCCAAAAACCAGTTCCTTTGGTTCCATCCCAGCACAGGCTGGTTCTGCACACCCAAAAACCAGTTCCTCCAGTTCCATCCACACCCAAAAACCAGTTCCTCCAGTTCCAGCCCAGTACAGGCTGGTTCTGCACACCCAAAACCAGTTCCTCCAGTTCCATCCACACCCAAAAACCAGTTCCTCCAGTTCCATCCACACCTAAAACCCAGTTACTCCAGTTCCATCCACACCCAAAAACCAGTTCCTCCAGTTCCAGCCGAGCCTGGGCTGGTTTTACACCCCAAAAACCAGTTCCTTTGGTTCCATCCACACCCAAAAACCAGTTCCTCCAGTTCCATCCACACCCAAATACCAGTTCCTCCAGTTCCATCCACACCCAAAAACCAGTTCCTCCAGTTCCATCCACACCCAAAAACCAGTTCCTCCAGTTATATCCACACCCAAAAACCAGTTCCTCCAGTTCCATCCACACATAAAAACCAGTTCCTCCAGTTACATCCCAGCCTGGGCTGGTTTTACACCCCAAAAACCAGTTCCTTTGGTTCCATCCCAGTACAGGCTGGTTTTGCACACCCAAAACCAGTTCCTCCAGTTCCATCCACACCTAAAAACCAGTTCCTTTGGTTCCATCCACACCCAAAAACCAGTTCCTCCAGTTACATCCACACCTAAAAACCAGTTCCTCCAGTTCCCTCCACATCCAAAAACCAGTTCCTCCAGTTCCATCCACACCCAAAAACCAGTTCCTCCAGTTCCATCCCAGTACAGGCTGGTTCTGCACGCCAAAAACCAGTTCCTCCAGTTCCATCCCAGTACAGGCTGGTTTTGCACACCCAAAAACCAGTTCCTTTGGTTCCATCCCAGTACAGGCTGGTTTTGCACACCCAAAAACCAGTTCCTCCAGTTCCATCCCAGTACAGGCTGGTTTTACACCCCAAAACCCAGTTCCTCCAGTTCCAGCCCAGCACAGGCTGGTTCTGCACACCCAAAAACCAGTTCCTCCAGTTCCATCCACACCCAAAAACCAGTTCCTCCAGTTCCATCCCCACCCGGTCTTGTTCTCCACCCAACCCCAACTCCAGAAATGACCCCCCCTCCCCCCATGACAGGTGTGCCCAGGTGTGTCCTTGCCCCTCCCCCCCGTGGCAGGTGTGCCCAGGTGTGTCCTTGCCCCTCCCCTCCCCCATTGCAGGTGTGTCCAGGTGTGTCCTTGCCCTCCCCCATGGCAGGTGTGTCCAGGTGTGTCCTTGCCCCTCCCCCATTGCAGGTGTGTCCAGGTGTGTCCTTGCCCCTCCCCCTCCCCCATTGCAGGTGTGCTCAGGTGTGTCCTTGCCCCTCCCCCCATGGCAGGTGTGCCCAGGTGTGTCCTTGCCCTCCTCCCCCATGGCAGGTGTGGCCAGGTGTGTCCTTGCCCTCCCCTCCATCACCCCCCGTGGCAGGTGTGTTCAGGTGTGTCCTTGCCCCTCCCCCTCCCCATTGCAGGTGTGTTCAGGTGTGTCCTTGCCCCTCCCCCATGGCAGGTGTGTCCAGGTGTGTCCTTGCCCCTCCCCCATGGCAGGTGTGCCCAGGTGTGTCCTTGCCCCTCCCCCCATTGCAGGTGTGTCCAGGTGTGTCCTTGCCCCTCCCCCCATCACCCCCTCATGGCAGGTGTGCCCAGGTGTGTCCTTGCCCCTCCCCCCATGACAGGTGTGCCCAGGTGTGTCCTTGCCCCTCCCCCCCCATTCCAGGTGTGCCCAGGTGTGTCCTTGCCCCTCCCCCATTGCAGGTGTGCCCAGGTGTGTCCTTGCCCCTCCCCCCATTCCAGGTGTGCCCAGGTGTGTCCTTGCCCCTCCCCCCCATTGCAGGTGTGTCCAGGTGTGTCCTTGCCCCTCCCCCCCATGACAGGTGTGCCCAGGTGTGTCCTTGCCCCTCCCCCCATTGCAGGTGTGTCCAGGTGTGTCCTTGCCCCTCCCCCCATGGCAGGTGTGTCCAGGTGTGTCCTTGCCCTCTCCCCCATTGCAGGTGTGCCCAGGTGTGTCCTTGCCCCTCCCCCATTGCAGGTGTGCCCAGGTGTGTCCTTGCCCCTCCCCCCATCACCCCCCCATTGCAGGTGTGCCAGGTGTGTCCTTGCCCCTCCCCCCTCTCCTGCCGTACCTGGCGGGCTGGAGGCCCCGTGGGGAGGCCCCGTGGCCCCTCCTGTCCCTGCCCTGCAGGATTTTGGGGGGCTGCACCCCCAGGGAGCAGCTGAGGCGCAGCAGGAGGGTGCTGAAGAGGGTCGGGAACAGCCCCAGCACCGCCGGCCCTGCCTCTGGAGCACACAGCAGCTCACCCACAGCACACGTGGCCTGCGGGAATTAATTCATCAGGGAATTAATTAGGGAATTCATCAGGGAATTCATCAGGGAATTCATCAGGGAATTCATCAGGGAATTCATCAGGGAATTAGGGAATTCATCAGGGAATTCATTAGGGAATTCATTAGGGAATTCATCAGGGAATTCATCAGGGAATTCATTAGGGAATTCATTAGGGAATTCATTAGGGAATTCATCAGGGAATTCATTAGGGAATTCATTAGGGAATTCATCAGGGAATTCATCAGGGAATTCATTAGGGAATTCATTAGGGAATTCATCAGGGAATTCATTAGGGAATTCATTAGGGAATTCATTAGGGAATTCATTCATCAGGGAATTCATTAATCAGGGAATTCATTAGGGAATTCATTAGGGAATTCATTAGGGAATTAATGAGGGAATTAGGGAATTAATCAGGGAATTAATTAGGGAATTCATCAGGGAATTAGGGACACCCCCACCCCAGGCAGGAGGAAATCACTCGCTCAGCCACCCCCTCTGTGTGACCTCACCCTGTGTGTCCCCAGCTCCCCCCGGGCCAGGGGATGGACCTGGGGGATTCCCTGGGAATGCGATCCCGGATTCCCGGTGGTTTCAGGGCCGTGATTACCCGGGATACAACGGTGGGGGGGGAGGATTAAATCAAAATAAGGGGGGGTTGCTCTTGGTGCAGCCGGTTCTGCATCACCTGATTTTGCTCCCCAGGAGGAAGAGGAGGAGGAAGAGGAGACGTTTCCAGCTGTTTTACAGCTTAGAAAGCTCCAAGTGGGGGTTATTTCATTTCTATTTTTTTTTTATTTTTTTTTATTTTTTTTCTTTTGGGGAGGGCTGAAATGCAAAAATTCCCCTCGGGGAGGGACCAGACACCTTGAGGGGGGGCCCTGCACACCCAGGGGGATCTTCACACCTGGGGGAAGTCCCTTTAGGAGCCCCCAACGCCTCCAACAGCCACGAAAAACCCCTGGGGTTTTTTCCAGAGGCCTGGAACAACTCCTGGCACAAACCCCCCCTCCCAGCCGAGGCCAGGAGGGCAGAATTCCGGGTGCTGGGAAGGGCAGGGGGTCTCCCTGGAGGGGGAACACTCACGGCCAGGGGCAGGGGGTGTCCATGGGGAGGGGGGAACACTCACGGCCAGGGGCAGGGGGGAACACTCACGGCCAGGGGCAGGGGGTCTCCCTGAGGGGGGAACACTCACGGCCAGGGGCAGGGGGAACACTCACGGCCAGGGGCAGGGGGGAACACTCACGGCCAGGGGCAGGGGGAACACTCACGGCCAGGGGCAGGGGGTCTCCTGGGGTGGGGGAACACTCACGGCCAGGGGCAGGGGTGTCCCTGAGGGGGAACACTCACGGCCAGGGGCAGGGGTCTCCTGGAGGGGGAACACTCACGGCCAGGGGCAGGGGGTCTCCCTGAGGGGGAACACTCACGGCCAGGGGCAGGGGGTCTCCTGAGGGGGAACACTCACGGCCAGGGGCAGGGGGTGTCCCTGAGGGGGGAACACTCACGGCCAGGGGCAGGGGGTCTCCTGAGGGGGAACACTCACGGCCAGGGGCAGGGGGAACACTCACGGCCAGGGGCAGGGGGTCTCCTGGGGTGGGGGAACACTCACGGCCAGGGGCAGGGGGTGTCCCTGAGGGGGAACACTCACGGCCAGGGGCAGGGGGTCTTCCTGAGGGGGAACACTCACGGCCAGGGGCAGGGGGTCTCCTGAGGGGGAACACTCACGGCCAGGGGCAGGGGGTGTCCCTGGAGGGGGAACACTCACGGCCAGGGCAGGGGTCCCTGAGGGGGAACACTCACGGCCAGGGGCAGGGGGTCTCCCTGGGGTGGGGGAACACTCACGGCCAGGGGCAGGGGGAACACTCACGGCCAGGGGCAGGGGGTCTCCTGAGGGGGAACACTCACAGCCAGGGGCAGGGGGTGTCCCTGAGGGGGAACACTCACGGCCAGGGGCAGGGGGTCTCCTGGGGAGGGGGAACACTCACGGCCAGGGGCAGGGGGTCTCCTGAGGGGGAACACTCACGGCCAGGGGCAGGGTGTCCTCCTGCAGGGCAGGGGAACACTCACGGCCAGGGGCAGGGGGTCTCCCTGGGGAGGGGGAACACTCACGGCCAGGGGCAGGGGGTCTCCTGGGGAGGGGGAACACTCACGGCCAGGCAGGGTCTCCTGAGGGGGAACACTCACGGCCAGGGGCAGGGGTGTCCTGAGGGGGAACACTCACGGCCAGGGGCAGGGGTGTCCCTGAGGGGGAACACTCACGGCCAGGGGCAGGGGGGAACACTCACGGCCAGGGGCAGGGGGTCTCCCTGAGGGGGGAACACTCACGGCCAGGGGCAGGGGGTCTCCCTGGAGGGGGGAACACTCACGGCCAGGGGCAGGGGGTCTCCCTGGAGGGGGAACACTCACGGCCAGGGGCAGGGGGAACACTCACGGCCAGGGGCAGGGGTGTCCCTGAGGGGGGGAACACTCACGGCCAGGGGCAGGGGAGGGAACACTCACGGCCAGGGCAGGGGTCTCCTGGAGGGGGGAACACTCACGGCCAGGGGCATGGGAGGAACACTCACGGCCAGGGGCAGGGGGTCTCCCTGAGGGGAACACTCACGGCCAGGGGCAGGGGGTCTCCTGAGGGAGGGGAACACTCACGGCCAGGGGCAGGGGGAACACTCACGGCCAGGGGCAGGGGTGTCCCTGAGGGGAACACTCACGGCCAGGGGCAGGGGGTCTCCTGAGGGGGAACACTCACGGCCAGGGGCAGGGGGAACACTCACGGCCAGGGGCAGGGGTCTCCTGAGGGGGAACACTCACGGCCAGGGGCAGGGGTCTCCTGAGAGGGAACACTCACGGCCAGGGGCAGGGGTCTCCTGGAGGGGAGCACACTCACGGCCAGGGGCAGGGGGTCTCCCTGGGAGGGACACTCACGGCCAGGGGCAGGGGGAACACTCACGGCCAGGGGCAGGGGGTGTCCCTGAGGGGGGAACACTCACGGCCAGGGGCAGGGGGGAACACTCACGGCCAGGGGCAGGGGGTCTCCCTGGGGGGGGAACACTCACGGCCAGGGGCAGGGGGAACACTCACGGCCAGGGGCAGGGGGAACACTCACGGCCAGGGGCAGGGGTGTCTCCCTGGAGGGGGAACACTCACGGCCAGGGGCAGGGGGTCTCCCAGGGAAGAGGGGAACACTCACGGCCAGGGGCAGGGGGTCTCCCTGGAGGGGGAACACTCACGGCCAGGGGCAGGGGGTGTCCCTGAGGGGGAACACTCACGGCCAGGGGCAGGGGTCTCCTGAGGGGGAACACTCACGGCCAGGGGCAGGGGGAACACTCACAGCCAGGGCAGGGGGTCTCCTGGGTGGGGGAACACTCACGGCCAGGGGCAGGGGTGTCCCCTGAGGGGGGGACACTCACAGCCAGGGGCAGGGGGGTGGCCACGCGCTCGGATCCGCCGCCCAGCAGGAAGCTCTTGCTCTCCTTGTAGGGGATGTCCCTGCTGACCTTCTCCAGCAGCTGCTCCAGGATCTGGGAGGTGAGGGCGGGCTCGGTGGCCAGAGACCTCCACATGGCACAGGTGTGGCTGGGGGAGAGCGGGGCACAGGGGGCTGGCACCGCCGGCAAAGCCACCCCTGGTGGGACACCCACCCCAGCAGCCCCGGTGACCCTCACCCAGCCCCCAGAGAACACCCAGAGCCCCCTCCCTGGTACCCCAAAATTCCCATTTTCCCCCAGGATGACAGCCTGGGAGCAGCTGGTTTGCCAGGAATGGAGCGAGGAGGAGGAAAACTCTGCTCCAGGCTCGGCACCAGCTCACTCAGCAGCTCCCTAAAAGCAGCACCGAGCAGCCCAAAATTGCCCAGGGACAGCTGGAAAAACCACCTAAAATCAGCTCTGACCCTCCAGCTTCCAAAGGAAACCCCAGAAGGATCTGGGTGCTGGAGAAAGGAGCTAAAAGGTTTTTATGGGCAAATCCCTAAAAATCAGCTCTGACCCTCCAGCTTCCAAGGGAAATCCCAGAAGGATTTGGATGCTGGAGAAAGGAGCTAAAGGGTTTTTATGGGCAAGCCCCTAAATATCAGTTCTGACCCTCCAGCAGCCAAAGGAAATTCCCAGGATTTGGATGCTGGAGAAAGGAGCTAAAGGGTTTTTAAGGGCAACCCCCTAAAAATCAGCTCTGACCCTCCAGCAGCCAAAGGAAATTCCCAGGATTTGGATGCTGGAGAAAGGAGACAAAGGGTTTTTATGGGCAACCCCCTAAAAATCAGCTCTGACCCTCCAGCAGCCAAAGGAAATTCCCAGAAGGATCTGGGTGCTGGAGAAAGGAGCTAAAGGATGAACATGGCAAACACCCCAAAAATCAGGTCTGATCCTCCAGCAGCCAAAGGAAACCCCAGAAGGATCTGGATGCTGGAGAAAGGAGCTAAAGGATGAACGTGGCAAACACCCCAAAAATCAGCTCCCACCCTGCAGCTCCCAAAGGAAAATCCCAGCAGGGTCTGGACACTGGCACAGGGAGCCAAAGGAGGATGTGGAGGAGAACACCCTAAAATCCAGCTCCAAACCCCTCCAGCACCCCCAGGAAAGCCCAGCTGGGTTTGGATGCCGGCACGAGGAGCCAAAGGGGGACGTGGAAACCCCTCCCAAACCTCCATCAGAAAATCATCTCCAATCCCACATCTCCCCGAGGAAAGCCCCTCAGGGAGCCAGGGGAGGGCGTGGGCAGTGCCAGGCAGGACCTGTCGAAGGGCAGGGGGCTGCCCAGCAGGCTGGAGACCACCAGGCCGGAGTGCTGGGCGGCCAGGATGAGCACGGTCTGCTGCGCCGCCCTCCGCACGTGCTCCTCGGCCACCTCCTCCAGCTTCCCGTGGATGATGCTCATGATGTCGGGGATCTGGGGGCAGCACAGACACACAGGGGGGGCCAGGGAAAGGGTGGGATGAGCCAGGAACGGGCCTGGAACCACGCAGGACACCGGTGGGATGGACTCCCCCCCTACCCCTGGGAGAGCGGGAGGTGCCCCCCTGCCCATGGGATGGAAGGTCCTTTCCAAGCCAACCCAGCCTGGGGTTCTGTGATCCTTCCCCACCCTTGGCCACCCAGGAGGCTCCAGGGGGATTCCCAGAAAAAAAAAAAAAAAAACCAAAAAAAAAGGGGGGACCCAGCAAGGACAATCCCGGAACGAGGAGGCTGAAAAACCCCTCGGAGCCCACCGAGTCCAACCATTCCCACAGCCCTGCCCGTGTCCCCAAGAGCCACCTCCCCAGGGATGCTCAATCCCCCCAGGAATGGGGATCCAGGGCTGGGCAGCCCCTTCCCAGCAGGGATTTTCCCCAAGATTCCCCCTAAACCTCGAGCTGGGAGCAGCAGAGGAGCTGGAGCTGAGGGTGAGGAGACCCCTCTGCAGAAAAGGCACTGTTAAGACCAGGAGGAAGCTGAGGGCTGGCAGCGAATTCCCGGGATTAGGCTGGGATCTGGAGAGCCCAGCTGAGCTCAGCTCAGCCCAGGGGCTTGCCAGGCTTAGCAACAGGTCGGGTTTCAGGATCTGGGCTGGGCTGGGGCTGACCCAGAGGCGAAGTGGAGCCTTCCCAGCGAGGATCCTGGCTCAGAGGGAAGGAGCAGCAGCTCCAGAGCCCACAAATCCCAGGGAAAATGCGGGAGGGAGAAGCCAGAGGTGTTTCCAATCACTGGGAGAGAGGGTGGGGGAGAGCTCGGCCCTGGAGGTGGGGGTTAAGACTAAAGAGCCTCCTGTGTCCAGCACCTCTGAGCCCCCAAACATTCCAGCCAGGAAGGACAGGCTGCTCCCAAGGTCTCTGAGCCCCCAAACATTCCAGCCAGGAAGGATGGGCTGCTCCAAAGGTTCCAGGGGAAGCTGAGCCCTCCTGGTGGTTCTGAACTCCTCAATCCCAGCCAGAGCCAGAGCGAGCCAAGGGAGATGGGAACACCAACAGGGGATGGAGGAGGGGAGTGTGAGTGGAGAAAGAGGGAGGTCAGGAGGGACAGCCCCCAGAAAACTTTGGGATGAGTGTTCCTTTGGGAAAAAACGTGGGGGGAATGGCTAGTGTGAGCCAGGGGTCCAGAGAGGACACGGGGATGATCCCAGGGCTGGAGCCCTCTGCTCTGGAGCCAGGCTGGGAGAGCTGGGAATGTTCCCCTGGAGAAGGGAAGGATCCAGGCAGAGACCAGAGAGCCCCTGGCAGGGCCTGAAGGGGCTCCAGGAGAGCTGGAGAGGGATTTGGGATGAGGGCTGGAGGGACAGCACACAGGGAATGGCTGCCCAGGGTTAGGGGGGAGATTGGGAAGGGATTCCTGGCTGGGCTGGAATTCCCAGGGAAGCTGTGGCTGCCCCTGGATCCCTGGGAGTGTCCCAGGCCAGGCTGGATCCCCCTGGGATGGTGGGAGCTGTCCCTGCCCGTGGCCAGGGGGTGGGAATGGATGATCCTCAAGTCCTTCCCATCCCAAACCATCCCAGGATTCCATGACAGGGAGGGGGGTCATCACCCTCCCTCTGCCCCCCTTCCCTGTTCTGGGCACCACCCCAAGGACTTTGCCCCTTCCTGGAGCTTCCCTGCCCATCCCAGCACCACCATCCCACAACTCCCACAGCTGCTGGAAGTGGGAATTACCCAACCACGCACACGGGGAGAGGGGGATCCCTCTGGGGACGGCTCTGGCAGCAGCTGTGGGGCCCAGCAGCAGCTCCTTTACCTTGTCCTGCAGGAGCCCTCCCCGCTCCCTGAGCAGGCAGTTGATCATGACGGTGGCGGCGCGGGAGCAGTTCCTGTCGGGATCCCCCAGCCCCTCGAACAGGGACAGCAGGAGGCTCATCAGCTGATCCGGGGGGATTCTCTTCCCCACCACCTGTGGGAGGGCAGGAGGGGTCCAGAGGGGCAGGGTTCTGTCACCCCAGTGACACCAGAGACCCCCCCCAGCTGCTCCCCTGGGGCTCAGGGAGCTCTCTGGGTCCAAACTGCTCAGGGGTGATGGTGAGGGGGATGCCTGCTGGAAGACCCACTGGAGGGGCAGGGTTTGGGTGATGGCAGCTTGTCCAGGATGAAAACACCCCCAGGTTATCCCCAGCCACAAGAAGAGGCTGCCCAGGGGAGGGGCAGTCGGGTTCTGCTCCCGGGACAAGGGCAAAAGGGCTTGAGTTGTGCCAGGGGAGCTCTATTTGGGATCTTGGGAAAATCCCTGCTGGGAAGGGGCTGCCCAGCCCTGGATCCCCATCCCTGGGAGGGGTGAATTGACCATCCCTGGGGAGGTGGCACTTGGGGACACGGGCAGGGCTGGGGGATGGTCGGGCTTCAAGGGATTTTCCCAGCCCTCGCTCCCAGTTTGGCCCAGTATGGCCCTACCATGGCGATGCTGGTGCAGGCGTGGAAGAGGACGGTGAAGTCGGGCTCCTCCAGGCCCTTCTTGAGCGCTTTCAGCCCCTCCACCATCTCATCCCTGTGGTCCCTGGCGAAACCTGCGTCCAGAGGGAGCAGAATTCCTCAGCTTCCCTCCCAAAAAACGCTCCCCGTGCCGCACGGGGGCTGGCCCGGCTTTTGGGAAGGGGACAAGGATCCCAAACCAGGGGACTTTTCCAAGCCCTGCCAAGGGCCAGGAGAGCTTGTCCCGGACAGCTGGGCCGGGCTGGATCAGCCTGGAGCCCCCCAGGTCTCCCTGCCCGCGGGGTGGGTGGAAGGAGCTGATCTTTGGGGCTCTCATTCCAGCCCCAGACGCTCCGGGATCCTCTGGAACTCCTCTGGAAACTTCCCTGCTCCCGGCAGCTCAGACCAAGCGAGGGGCAGCCCTGACCCCTCCTGGAGAGCGGGGAGAACTCCAGGCTCCCACACCTCGAACCTCCCGAAATCCCCCGAGCCCTTCCTGGCCCGCCGCGTGGGACGGGACACACACGAACCCCGGGAATGCAGGACCCCCCCGGGGATGGAGGGAGGGGGTCTCCTGCTGCCAGCCCCCGGCCCCCACGGGGCTGGAAGGGTGGATGGATGGATGGATGGCGTCCCCACCTTCGTAGCAGAGCTGGATGTAGAGCAGGGAGTGCACACAATCCACGGAGCGCAGCCGGACGCCGGCCAGGGAGTCGGAGCAGCGCGGGGAAACAGGGCCAGGAGCACGCTCAGGTTGTAGAAGGGGATCACAGTCTGGGGTGGGACACAAATCTGGCTCAGGGGGGCATTCCAGAGGGTGGGAATACCCCGTGGAGCAGGAGGAAGGGGGGGGGATGGAGAGCTGAGGGCACTCACGCTGACGTTCAGCTCGCTCAGGTAGAATTCCAGCAGGGAAGCGCTGACCTCCACGGCCCGTTCCCGCTCCTGCTCCCGGGGGGACTTGATCCAGGGGCCCAAGTGCTGCAGGGGGGGGGAAAGGATTGTGGAATTACAGAGTTGTTTAGGCTGGGAAAGCCCTCAGAGTCCAACTGTTCCCTCAACGCAGTGCCACCTCCACAGGGGTGGGCAATCCCCCAGGGATGGGGGGATCCAGGCCCGGGCAGCCCTTTCCCAGAGGGATTTTTCCCAGCATCCCACCTGAGGCCGTTTCCCCTTGTCCTGTCCCCTGTTCCCTGGGAGCAGAGCCCAATTCCCACCTGGTGTCACCTCCTGGCCCCCCTGGGACCCCCCCTGAGCCCTCCAGGCTGAGCCCCCCTGGCTTCCTCAGCCATTCCTGGAGCTCCAGAGCCTTTCCCAGCTCCTCTCCCTTCCCTGGGAACATTCCAGCTCCTCCACACCCTCCCTGTTGGGAGGGTCCCCCCATTCTCCACGTGCTCTCCACCCTCCTTGTCCTCACCTGGAGACCCTGCCCCGAGCAGGGGGGGACCACCCTGGGTCCCAGACCACAGGGAAGAATCGAGGTCCAGCCTCTCTCCTCCCAAACCAAAGCCCCCCAAATCCCGGGAGCACCCACCGCAAACACGTCCTGGAGCCCGTGGGGGGTCAGGTTCCTGCGCAGGAGACTCTTGAGCAGGTCCTTCAGGGCGCCCAGGGTGTCCTCGTACAGCACCTGGGGAGGGAACCAGGGGGAAACCACAGGGCTGGAAGAGCCCTCGGGGGGATCCGTGGAGTCCAACCCAGCACAACCAACCCCACTGCTGACCCACGGAATTCCAGAGGGGAATTCGGTCCTTCTGAAGCAGGAAGGGTTAATCTTTAGTTAACACTTTTACTGTGAACCCACAAGAGCCCCCCTTACCCCCTGTATTTCGTTCACTGTAAGCTGGACTTTTACAAGAAGGCTGTGAAGACTGGCCATTAATTATTAATTAATTCTGTATTAAGAGCATTATTAAGTTCTGTATTAAGAGCATCAGACCTTAAAGGAACCACAACAAACACCAGACAAAGAACTCAACACACATCAATCTCATCCAGAGGAGCCAAGGCAGACATTGGAATAGGTAAAGCAGGCCTAGAGCCAAAGGTCTCTTCAAACCTGGACGATCAGGACACAGAACAATGGACAGAACAAAAGGATCACGGATGTCACCCCAGGGAGATGAGGAGGAAAATGCAGAGCCCAGGAACTCCCACCAAAATATTCCTCAAAATGGAGACCACGCCTCAATCTCCGCCCCGACTCCACCTGCTATGAATATTGTAATCTAATGATGCAATGATATGAATATGCATGTGATTATGTTGTAATCATGATTGGAAATGTATAAATTGCTTGTTTTTACTGAACCACTTTGGAGCTTTTTTGTCCAGCCTGAGCTGGAAGCTACCCTGGCGTCGTTAATTCAATAAATCCCTGCTGTTTATGGGCTCAAAATTCTGCCTTTAAGCAGTTTTTTTTTATCTGCCTTTTTTTTGGGCATCACTTCTCCCCACCTGGGGACAAAGCTCAGGGCAAACAAACCCTTCTAAAAATCCCAGAACGGCTGGGAAGGGACCTTAAACCACAGAACCATCAGATCACGGCACGGCTGGGGTTTCAGGGACCTTCAGGGCCATCCAGTTCCACCCCCCTCACCGGGGGCAGGGATAAGACACTTCCCCTTCCTTTCCATGGCTAATTTCGGGTTAAACTCCCAAAAAAAAAAGCCCTGACAAAGCCTGACAGGCCAGCAGAGGAGCAGGAAAGGTTTGATTAACTCCCATTTGCGGGCCAGATGCTGCCAGAGCTGCCGGGGGATGCTCCGGGTGCTCCGCCCGGACACGGAGCCACCCGGCAGCTGCAGCAGCTTCATTAGCAGCGAGTTAATTGCCCCTCATCAGGCACCCGGGCACGGCTGGGCAGCAGCTGCAGCCTCTCAGCAGCCAGGGCCGGGCAGGGAATGCCCGCGGGGTTTGGGGGATCGTTGGATTCTCCCGCTCCCCTCGGCAGGGGTTGGATGTGCTGAGACAGCTCCCGGTGCCCAGACGGGCTCAGGGAAAGGGCAGAGGGGCAGCTGGATGGAAAACGGGCCTTTCCCGTGGATTTGCGGGGCGATGGAGCCCATGGAATGTGGTGTCCTGCCCCAAAAGTGTCCTGGGGGGTGTGAGCAGAGCTCCGGCCCCAGGGCACGGCACAGCATCCCAAGGATCTGCATCCCAACCTCAGAGGGACCTGGAGCTGCTGGAGAGGATCCAGAGGGGACATGGGGATGATCCCAGGGCTGGAGCCCCTCTGGAGCCAGGCTGGGAGAGCTGGGAATGTTCCCCTGGAGAAGGGAAGGATCCAGGGAGACCTGAGAGCCCCTGGCAGGGCCTGAAGGGGCTCCAGGAGAGCTGGAGAGGGATTTGGGATGAGGGCTGGAGGGACAGCACACAGGGAATGGCTGCCCAGGGTTAGGGGGGAGATTGGGAAGGGATTCCTGGCTGGGAGGGTGATGAGGAGCTGGAATGGAATTCCCAGGGAAGCTGTGGCTGCCCCTGGATCCCTGGGAGTGTCCCAGGCCAGGCTGGATCCCCCTGGGATGGTGGGAGCTGTGCCTGCCAGTGGCAGGGGGTGGGAATGGATCATCCTTGAGGTCCCTGCCCCCCAAACCATCCAGGAATTCTCTCTGAGCTCCACGTGGGGGTCTGTGCTCCCCACCCCACCCCCTTCCCCCCAGACCATCCAGGAATTCTCTCTGAGCTCCACGTGGGGGTCTGTGCCCTCACTCCCACCCCCTTCCCCCAAACCATCCAGGAATTCTCTCCGAGCTCCATATGGGGTCTGTGCCCCCACCCCGCCCCCGCAGCACCGGCACCATTCCCATCGGGCAGGAATCCCCCCTGGGTGTGCAGGGAATCCCACCTGGGTGTTCAGGGAATCCCCCCCGTCCTCCTCCCTGTCCTTGGGGGGACCCCAGCGGGGGCAGGGCCAGGACGCTGGCCAGGCTCGTGTCCATCAGCTCCGTCCTGTCCGGGTCACTCAGCTGCGGCTCCAGGGGGCTGATCCCGGGCTAAGGAAGGAACAGGGATGGATTCCCGGCACGGGAAGCAGGGGCTGGGATCTCGGGAATGTTTGTAACTCGTGGAATGGGGAGGAGTGGGCATGGGGAGAAGCGAGCTGGGAGCACTGGGAAAACTGGGGGGGGAGATGGGGTCAGACTTGGGTCTGTGTCAGGGATCCCTGGAATTGTGGAAGGAGTGTCCAGAGGGAGGGAATGGAGAGGGAGGGGAGGGAAAAAGGGAAGGGAGAAGGGGAAAAAAGGGAAGGGAAAAGGAAAAAAGGGAAGGGAGAAGGGAAAAAAGGGAAGGGAAAAGGAAAAGGGAAAAAGGAAAAAGGGAAGGGAGAAGGGGAAAAAAGGGAAGGGAGAAGAGAAAAAAGGAAAGGGAGAAGAGAAAAAGGGAAGGGAGAAGGGAAAAAGGGAAGGGAAAAGGGAAAAAGGGAAGGGGAAAAAAGGGAAGGGAGAAGGGAAAAGGGAAGGAGAAGGGAAAAGGAGAAGGGAAAAGGGAAGGAAAAGGGAAAAAGGGAAGGGAGAAGAGAAAAAAGGAAAGGGAGAAGAGAAAAAGGGAAGGGAGAAGGGAAAAAAGGGAAGGGAGAAGGGAAAAAGGGAAAAGGGAAAAAGGGGAAAGGGAAAGGCAAAAGGGAAAGGCAAAAGGGAAAGACAAAAGGGAAAGACAAAAGGGAAAGGAAAAAGAGAAAGGAAAAAGGGAAAGGAAAAAGGGAAAGGAAAAAGAGAAAGGAAAAAGGGAAAGGAAAAGGGAAAGGAAAAGGGAAAGGAAAAGGGAAAGGAAAAGGGAAAGGAAAAGGGAAAGGAAAAGGGAAAGGAAAAAGAGAAAGGAAAAAGGGAAAGGAAAAAGGGAAAGGAAAAAGGGAAAGGAAAAAGGGAAAGGCAAAAGGGAAAGGCAAAAGGGAAAGAGAGGGAGATGGAGACGAGGAAAGAGGAAAAAGAGAAGGGGAAAAAGAGAAGAAGGGGGAAAAGGGAAGAAGGAAAGAATCCCCAGAGCGGGGAGAGGATCATCAAAGTCCAACTCCTGGCCCTGCACAGGACGATCCCAAAATCCCACCCTGCGCCTGAGAGCCTTGGGGACAACCTGGGGACAAGGGGGCAGGGGGAGGGGGGGGCAGCAGCGCTGGCATTCCCAGTGGGATGAGGGAAGAGGGACAAGGATACACCAGGTGGGTGCAGGTGGCCATGGCTCGCTGGCGCAGCGGCGTCCGCAGCGACTCCAGGGGCTCTGCCCGGATCAATTCCTGGGGGGAACGAGCAGGGGACACTTCCAGGGACGGCCAGCCCTGCTGTCCCCACGTTCCATGTGGGCCCTGTGCCCCCAGGGAGCCTCCCTGTGCCCCCAGGACCCTCCCAGTGCCCTCCAGGACCTTCCCTGTGCCCCACCAGGACCCTCCCTATGTCCCCCTGTGCCCCCCAGGACACTCCCTGTGCCCCCCAGGACCTTCCCTGTGCCCCCCAGGACCCTCCCTGTGCCCCCCAGGACCCTCCCTGTGCCCCCCAGGACACTCCCTGTGCCCCACCAGGACCCTCCCTATGTCCCCCTGTGCCCCCCAGGACACTCCCTGTGCCCCCCAGGACCTTCCCTGTGCCCCCCAGGACCCTCCCTGTGCTCGCCAGGACCCTCCCTGTGCCCCCCAGTGCCCCCCAGTGCCCTCCAGGACCCTCCCAGTGCCCTTGAGAGCTCTCTAGGACCCTCCCAGTACCCTCCAGGACCCTCCCAGTGCACCCCAGTGGCCTCCAGGACCCTCCCCATGCCTCCCAGTGCCCCTCAGAGCTCTCTAGGACCCTCCCAGTGCCCTCCAGGACCCTCCCCGTGCCCCCCAGTGCCCCTCTGAGCCCTCCTGGTGTCCCTCGGTGCCCCCCAGGACCCTCCCAGTGCCTCTCAGTGCCCCCCCATCCCCCCTCACCACCATGTGGGCGACGAGCTCGGCCTTGCGGGCGAAGACGAAGCCGGCGGGGCCCTTCCCGTGGGACACGGCCCGGCTGAGCATGGACAGGCTGCGGGTCAGGCACAGCTTCAGTGTCAGATCCTGTGGGAACAGCCCCAGGATATGGGAATATGGCCATGGATGTGGGAATGTGGCACCCAGGGACACGGGAACAGCCCCAGGGACACGGGAATGTGGCCATGGATGTGGGAATGTGGCACCCAGGGACACGGCCCGGCTGAGCATGGACAGGCTGCGGGTCAGGCACAGCTTCAGTGTCAGATCCTATGGGAACAGCCCCAGGGACATGGGAATGTGGATATGGGAACAGCCCCAGGGACACGGGAACAGCCCCAGGGACATGGGAACAGCCCCAGGGACACGGGAATGTGGCACCCATGGACACGGGAACAGCCCCAGGGACATGGGAACAGCCCCAGGGACACGGCCCGGCTGAGCATGGACAGGCTGCGGGTCAGGCACAGCTTCAGTGTCAGGTCCTGTGGGAACAACCCCAGGGACATGGGAATGTGGCCATGGATGTGGGAATGTGGCACCCATGGACACGGGAACAGCCCCAGGGACACGGGAATGTGGCACCCATGGACACGGCCCGGCTGAGCATGGACAGGCTGCGGGTCAGGCACAGCTTCAGTGTCAGGTCCTGTGGGAACAGCCCCAGGATATGGGAATGTGGCACCCATGGACACGGGAACAGCCCCAGGGACACGGGAACAGCCCCAGGGACACGGGAACAGCCCCATGGACATAGGAATATGGTCCCCATGGACACGGGAACAGCCCTGGGACACGGGAATGTGGCTGGGGATGTGGGAACAGCCCCAGGGACACGGGAACAGCCCCAGGGACACGGGAACAGCCCCAGGGACACAGGAATGTGGCCCCCATGGACATAGGAATATGGCCATGGATGTGGGAACAGCCGATCCGTCAGGGATGGGGACAGGGGGCCCTGGGGCTGATCCTGGCTGATCCAGGGGGGAATTCCCACCCTCGCTGCCGGCGGGGCTGACCTTGGAGCCCGAGCACTGCAGGATGTTCCGCACCACGTCGGCCTCCAGGCGGGGCAGGAGCCGCTCCCGAGGGGCGGCCACGGCCACGTGGCCATAGCACAGGATGAGGCTGCTCCTCATCCTCTCCAGATCCGCCTCGCTGCGCTCCTGGGAGAGGGGGAAAGGGATACAGAGTGAGCCAGGGGGAGCCAGAGGGAGCCAGAGGGATCCAGAGTGACCTCAGGGGGATCCAGAGGGATCCAGAGTGTCCCCAGAGGGATCCAGAGTGTCCTCAGGGGGAGCCAGAGGGATCCAGAGTGTCCCCAGGGGGAGCCAGAGGGATCCAGAGGGATCCAGAGTGTCCCCAGAGTGTCCTGAGAGGGATCCAGAGTGATCCAGTGACCCCAGAGGGATCCAGAGTGTCCTCAGGGGGAGCCAGAGGGATCCAGAGGGATCCAGAGTATCCCCAGAGTGTCCCCAGAGGGATCCAGAGTGTCCCCAGAAGGATCCAGAGTGTCTTCAGGGGGATCCAGAGTGTCCCCAGAGGGATCCAGAGTGTCCCCAAAGGGATCCAGAGGGATCCAGAGTGTCCCCAGAGGGATCCAGAGTGTCCCCAGAGGGATCCAGAGTGTCCCCACAGGGATCCATAGGGATCCAGAGTGTCCCCAGAGGGATCCAGAGTGTCCCCAGAGGGATCCAGAGTGTCCTCAGAGGGATCCAGAGGGATCCAGAGTATCCCCAGAGTGTCCCCAGAGGGATCCAGAGTGTCCTGAGAGGGATCCAGAGTGTCCTCAGGGGGAGCCAGAGGGATCCAGTGACCCCAGAGGGATTCAGAGTGTCCCCAGAGGGATCCAGAGTGTCCCCAGAGGGATCCAGAGTGATCCAGTGACCCCAGAGTGATCCAGAGTGTCCTCAGAGGGATCCAGAGTGATCCAGTGACCCCAGAGGGATCCAGAGTGTCCCCAGAGGGATCCAGAGTGTCCTGAGAGGGATCCAGAGTGATCCAGTGTCCCCAGAGGGATCCAGAGTGTCCTCAGGGGGATCCAGAGTATCCCCAGAGCATCCTCAGAGGGATCCAAAGGGATCCAGAGAGTCCTCAAGGGGATCCAGAGTATCCCCAGAGTGTCCCCAGAGGGATCCAGAGGGATACAGAGGGATACAGAGTGTCCTCAGGGGGATCCAGAGTGTCCCCAGAGTGTCCTCAGAGTGACCCCAGAGGGATCTAGGGTGTCCCCAGAGTGTCCCTAGAGGGATCCAGAGTGGGATGGGATGGGATGGGATGGGATGGGATGGGATGGGATGGGATGGGATGGGATGGGATGGGATGAGTTGGAGGTGATCCAGTGCCACCCTCCTGCCACAGGTAGGGACAGCTCCCACCATCCCAGGGTGCTCCAACCTGCCCTGGGACACTCCCAGGGATCCAGGGGCAGCCACAGCTTCCCTGGGAATTTCAGCCCAGCCCCTCCCCACCCTCCCAGCCAGGAATCCCTTCCCAATATCCCCCCTAACCCTGCCCTCCCTCACCTTCACCTTCACGTCCCCAGAGAATTTCAATCCCCCCAGGGATGGGGACTCCCCCCCCTCCACACCAGGCCAGGGCTGGGCAGCCCCTTTTCCAGGAGGAATTTTCCCAGTATCCCAAATAAAGCTCCCCTGAGGCCATTTCCTCTAATCCTGTCCCTGTTCCCCTGGGAGCAGAGCCCGATCCCATCTGGATCCACCCTCCTGTCCCCCTGCAATTCCCCCCCTCACCCCTGATGATCCCATCCCTGATGATCCCACCCTGATGATCCCACCCCTGATGATCCCACCCTGATGATCCCACCCTGATGATCCATCCCTGATGATCCATCCCTGATGATCCCACCCTGATGATCCCAATCCCTGATGATCCATCCCTGATGATCCCACCCTGCTGATCCCACAATCAGGATCCCATCCCTCAGGATCCATCCCTGATGATCCCATCCCTGATGATCCATCCCTGATGATCCCATCCCTGATGATCCATCCCTGATGATCCATCCCTGATGATCCATCCCTGATGATCCATCCCTGATGATCCCTCCCTGATGATCCCACCCTCAGGATCCCATCCCTGATGATCCCACCCTGATGATCCATCCCTGATGATCCCACCCTCAGGATCCCATCCCTGATGATCCCATCCCTCAGGATCCCATCCCTGATGATCCACCCCTGATGATCCACCCCTCAGGATCCCACCCTGATGATCCCACCCCTGATGATCCCACCCTCAGGATCCCATCCCTGATGATCCCACCCTGATGATCCACCCCTGATGATCCCATCCCTGATGATCCCATCCCTGCTGATCCATCCCTGCTGATCCATCCCTGATGATCCCATCCCTCAGGATCCATCCCTGATGATCCCATCCCTGATGATCCCACCCTGATGATCCCACCCCTGATGATCCCATCCCTGATGATCCCATCCTGATGATCCCATCTCTGATGATCCCACCCTGATGATCCCATCCTGATGATCCCACCCTGATGATCCATCCCTGATGATCCATCCTGGATCCATCTCAGGATCCCATCCCTGATGATCCATCCCTGATGATCCCACCCTGATGATCCATCCCTGATGATCCCACCCTGATGATCCCATCCTGATGATCCCACCCTGATGATCCCACCCTGATGATCCCATCCCTGATGATCCCATCCTGATGATCCCATCCCTGATGATCCCATCCCTGATGATCCCACAATCCTGATGATCCATCCCTGATGATCCATCCTTCAGGATCCCACCCTGATGATCCATCCCTGTTTTCCCACTCCAGGGCAGGGCACAGCTCCCTTTCCCAGGGCCAGGAATTCCCTGTATCCCATCCCATCAGGAACCCCCCTGGGCTCTCACCTTGAAGATGCTGAAGAGCCCCAGGGATTTCTTGAACACGTCAGACCTCACAAAGTCCTCCAGCGTGGCCAGGGTCTCCTCCAGGTGATTGGTGGCACAGATCCCAAAGCAGGAAGCCAAGCCCTGAGGGGGGGGAAAAATCATTAACAGCCAGCAATTAATCCAGCAATTAATCCAGCAATTAATCCAGCAATTAATCCCAGGGGATGGGATGGGATGGGATACAGGGATGGGATACAGGGATGGGATGGGATGGGATGGGATGGGATGGGATATCTGGGATGGGATGGGATGGGAGGGGATGGGATGGGATGGGATGGGATGGGGATGGGATGGGGATGGGATGGGATGGGATTGATGGGATGGGATGGAGGATGGGATGGGATGGGATGGGATGGGATTGATGGGATGGGGTGGGATGGGATTGATGGGATGGGATGAGAGGGATGGGATGGGATTGATGGGATGGGATGGGAGGGATGGGATGGGATGGGATGGGATGGATTGATGGGATGGGGATGGGATGGGATTGATGGGATGGGATGGGATGGGATGGGATGGGATGGGATGGGATGGGATGGGATGGGATGGGATGGGATGGGATGGGATGGGATGGGATTGATGGGATGGGATGGGATGGGATGGGATGGGATGGGATTGATGGGATGGGATGGGATGGGATGGGATGGGATGGGATGGGATGGGATGGGATGGATGGGATGGATGGGATGGGATGGGATGGGATGGGATGGGATTGATGGGATGGGGTGGGATGGGATGGGATATATGGGATGGGATATCTGGGATGGGATGGGATGGGATATCTGGGATGGGATCAGGGATGGGATGAGATGGGAGGGGATGGGATGGGGTGGGATGGGTGCCAGGCTGGGATGGGCAGACAGGCACAGAGCCCCAGTGGGGAGCTGGGAAGGGGGCAGGATGGGCAGGTCCTGCCAGCTCGTGGTGCCTCCCAGGCTGGGAATCCATGGACAGTTTAATCCAGGAGCAGCTGGATGAGCTGGAGCAGAGCCAGGAGTGGCAGAGCTCAGCCAAGGGCACAGGGAGCTGGGAATGTGCCAGGAGCAGGGCTGGGATGGGCAGGAAAAGCTCGACCCCGACCCCTCAGCTCCAGGGCAGGGAAAGGGGGGAAAAACGAGCTGGAAGATTCTGCAAAGCTCCAAAAAAGGTGGATGGCTTGGAAATTCCTCCCTGGGAGGGTGGGGAGGGGCTGGGCTGGAATTCCCAGGGAAGCTGTGGCTGCCCCTGGATCCCTGGGAGTGTCCCAGGCCAGGTTGGAGCACCCTGGGATGGTGGGATGGAGATGGTCTTTAAAAGCCCCTTCCCAGCCAAACCACCCTGGAATTCCCTGATTTTGGCAGGGACAGGACAAGGGGATGATGGATTTAAAGTGAAAAGAGGGGAGGTTCAGACCAGAGGAAGGGAGTGTTTCGTGCTGGGGGTGGTGAAACACCGGAGATCACGGAACATGGAATGGCTCAGGCTGGAAAATCCCCCCCTGAGCCCACCCAGTCCAGCCAGCCCTGCCCCTGTCCCCAAGTGCCACCTCCCCAGGGATGTTCAATCCCACCCCCCCAGGGATGGGGGATCCAGGGCTGGGCAGCCCCTTCCCAGCAGGGAATCCTCCCAATATCCCACCTTACCCCCCCTTGGAGGAGAGCTCAGCGTGGCAGCACCACCCTCCACACAGAATCACAGAATCACAGAACAGATTGGCTTGGAAAAGACCTCCAAGATCATCAAGTCCAACCCCTGATCCAACTCTAATTACTATATCATGGCACTAAGGGCCATGTCCAATCTCTTTTTACAAACCTCCAGGGATGGTGAATCCACCACCTCTCTGGGCAGGCCGTTCCAATGCCTGATCACCCTCTCTGTAAAGAATTTCTTCCTAACATCTAACCTAAACTTCCCCTGGCAGAGCTTGAGCCCATGTCCCCTTGTCCTGTTGTTGGTTGCCTGGGAGAAGAGACCAACCCCCACCTGGCTATAACTTCCCTTCAGGTAGTTGAAGAGAGTGATGAGGTCACCTCTAAGCCTTCTCTTCTCTAGACTAAACAACCCCAGCTCCCTCAGCCTCTCCTCATAGGACTTGTGCTCCAGTCCCTTCCCCAGCCTGGTTGCTCTTCTCTGGACCTGCTCCAGCACCTCAATGTCCTTCCTGACCTGAGGGGTCCAAAACTGAACACAACACTCAAGGTGTGGCCTCATCAGCACTGAGTACAGGGCAAGGATCACTGCCCTGCTCCTGCTGCCACCCTGTTCTTGGTACAGACCAGGATCCATTGGCTTTCTTGGCCACCTGGGCACACTCTGGCTCATGTTCAGCCTCCTGTTGATCCAAAATCTCAGGTCCCTTTCCGCCTGGCTGCTCTCCAGCCCCTCTGTCCCCAGCCCTGGGGCTGCAGGGGTTGTGGCCAAAGTGCAGGACCTTTGTTTGGTCTTGTTGAACTTCATCCCATTGGAATCAGACCATGGATCCAGCCTTTCCAGGTCCCTCTGCAGAGCCCTCCTGCCTTCTGGTAGGTTGACACTCCCTCCCAACTTGGTGTCATCAGCAAATTTGCTGATGATGGACTCAATCCCCTCATCCAGATCATCGATAAAGATGTTAAACAGGACTGGGCCCAGCACTGATCCCTGGGGGACACCACTGGTGACTGGATCCCAACTGGATGCAGCCCCATTCACCAGCACTCTCTGGGCCCTCCAGGCAGTTCCTAACCCAGCACAGAGTGCCCTGTCCAAGCCATGAGCTGCCAGCTTTTCCAGGAGTATTTTATGGGAGTATTTTATGGGAGAAGTGTCCAAGGCTTTGCTGAAATCCAGACAGACACATCCACAGCCTTCCCCTCATCCACCAGGTGATCGTAAAAGGAGATCAGGTTGGTCAGACAGGATCTGCCTCTCCTAAACCTGTGCTGGCTGGCTCTGATCCCTCATCCATCCTTGTCCAATCACACAATCCTGTGTGATTGCACTCAGGGTGATCTGCTCCAGAACTCCCAGGATGTCCCTGGGATATCCCAGCACGGCTCCTCACCTCCCTCTCGGCCTCCTCCTGGTGCCTGGCCGTCTCCAGGAGCTCCTGGAGCTGCTTCTGCACCAGCTCCTTGCTGGCACAGGCTCCCAGCGCCGTCCCGATGCATTTATACAGGAAATTCTGGGAAAACACAAGGAATGTCAGGGCTGGGATCCCCTCAGAGGGCACAAAACCCGGGCCTGACCGGCACAGCCAACGCCTCCACCTTCCAACCTTCCCCTCCTGACCGTCCTGCCTCCCTCCCAGCCCCTTTTCCCAGCTGGATCAGCCCCCAGGAGCTTCCCAAGGCTCGCCTTTTCCAGGGGGAAGCCGTTGTAGGAGCCCAGCTGGCGGCACAGCTCGGTCACCAAGGGGCAGCTCCAGGCGTCGCCCGGCACGGCCAACAGAGAATCCTGCAGGAACTGAGGGGGAAAAGAGCCCTCAGCATCCCAAAAAACCTGATCCCGGAGTCACAGCCCCGCCCCCTGCATCCCACACCCACAGGGAGAGCGGCTGGACCTTTGGAGAGGGGGGCTCTTGGATCTGGATCCCTTGGAAAGCTGAGGGACCTTGGGATTCTCCACCCTGGATCCCTTGGAAAGCTGAGGGACCTTGGGATTCTCCACCCTGGATCCCCTTGGAAAGCTGAGGGACCTTGGGATTCTCCACCCTGGATCCCTTGGAAAGCTGAGGGACCTTGGGATTCTCCACCCTGGATCCCTTGGAAAGCTGCTGGAATTTGGGATTCTCCACCCTGGATCCCTTGGAAAGCTGCTGGAATTTGGGATTCTCCACCCTGGAGCCCTTGGAAAGCTGAGGGACCTTTGGATTCTCCACCCTGGATCCTTTGGAAAGCTGAGGGACCTTTGGAATGGGGGATCCCATTGGAAAGCTGCGGGACCTTTGGATTCTCCACTCCAGATCCCTTGGAAAGCTGAATGTCCTTCTCCAGAGCCAGGAGCCCAGGGAAATCCTGGATCCCTGCCCTCCCAGCAGCACAGGGCCCCTCACCTGCAGCAGCTTCTCCTCCCATTCCTGCTGGCACAGCGACTGCTCCGTGTTCTCTGGCAGAAAGCACAGTTGGATACTGGTTAAACTGGTTACACTGGTCATCCAGAGGCACCTGGACAGACTGGGAGAGCTGGGAATGTTCAGCTGGAGAAGGGAAGGATCCAGGGAGAGCTGAGAGCCCCTGGCAGGGCCTGAAGGGGCTCCAGGAGAGCTGGAGAGGGATTTGGGATGAGGGCTGGAGGGACAGCACACAGGGAATGGCTGCCCAGGGTTAGGGGGGAGATTGGGAAGGGATTCCTGGCTGGGCTGGAATTCCCAGGGAAGCTGTGGCTGCCCCTGGATCCCTGGGAGTGTCCCAGGCCAGGCTGGATCCCCCTGGGATGGTGTGAGATGTCCCTGCCCGTGGCAGGGGGTGGGAATGGATGACCCTGGAGTGATGGGATGGCTTGGGTTGGAAGGGACCTTAAAAATCTCAGAGTTTCTCCATGACCTGGAAGGTCCCTCCCAGCCCAACCCATCCTGGGATGAGTCCACTTTGCCACAGCAGGGACAATCAAAGTCCCCAAATGCTCCCTGTCCTACATTCCTGGGGGGAATGAGAGGAACCAGGGGGATTAAATCCCTCCTGGAAGCAGGAGAAGGTTCCTCAAAGGGAGCTTCAAACCACCCAGGGCCATCAGGATAATTAAATCCCTCATGGAAGCAGGAGAAGGTGCCTCAGGAGCTTCAAACCACCCAGGGCCATCAGGATAATTAAATCTCTCCTGGAAGCAGGAGAAGGCTCCTCAAAGGGAGCTTCAAACCACCCAGGGCCATCAGGGGGATTAAATCCCTCCTGGAAGCAGGAGAAGGCTCCTCAAAGGGAGCTTCAAACCACTCAAAGCCATCAGGGGGATTAAATTCCTTATGGAAGCAGGAGAAGGTGCCTCAAAGGGAGCTTCAAACCACTGAGGGACATCAGGATAATTAAATCCCTCACTGGAAGCAGGAGAAGGTTCCTCAGGGAGCTTCAAACCACTGAGGGCCATCAGGATAATTAAATCCCTCATGGAAGCAGGAGAAGGTTCCTCAAAGGGAGCTTCAAAACACTGAGGGACATCAGGATAATTAAATCCCTCATGGAAGCAGGAGAAGGTTCCTCAAAGGGAGCTTCAAACCACCCAGGGCCATCAGGATAATTAAATCCCTCATGGAAGCAGGAGAAGGTTCCTCAGGGAGCTTCAAACCACTGAGGGCCATCAGGATAATTAAATCCCTCATGGAAGCAGGAGAAGGTTCCTCAGGGAGCTTCAAACCACTGAGGGACATCAGGGGGATTAAATCCCTCATGGAAGCAGGAGAAGGTTCCTCAGGGAGCTTCAAACCCCCATCAGGGCACGGGGACGTTCTCCTCATCCTTCCTGGGTGCTCCCAATCAATCTGGGTGGATTCCAGGGGATGATCCCATGGAGGAAAAGCCCTTCCTCACCTTCCAGGTGCTGCAGCAGGAGGGGGATGCTCTTGTCCCAGAGCAGCTCCAGGGCAGGGTGGAGGCTGGAGCGCAGCACGAGCAGCAGGCGCAGCGCGGCCGCCCCGCGCCCGTCCCCGGCGTAGGGCTGAGAGGAGACCACCTGGGAAAGGGGGTGGAAAAGGGGGTTGGTGCCCAGGGGATGGTCCACAATCCCTCCTGGGTCCCCATAGGATCATCCCCCATGGGATGGGATGGTCCCAGTCCCACCCCCACAGGATCATCTCCCATGGGATGGGACAGCCCCAATCCCACCCCCACAGGATCATCCCCCAAGGGATGGGACAATCCCACCCCCACAGGATCAGCCCCCATGGGATGGGACAGCCCCAATCCCTCCTGTGTCCCCCACAGGATGGCCCCAATCCCACTCCCATAGGATCATCCCCCATGGGATGGGACAACCCCAATCCCTTCTGTGACCCCCACAGGATCATCCCCAATCCCTCCTCTGTCCCCCACAGGATCATCCCCCATGGGATGGCCCCAATCCCAACCCCATGTCCCCTATAGGACCATCCCCCACAGAACAACCCCAATCCCACCCCCACAGGATCATCCCCACGGGATGGCCCAATCCACCCCACAGGATCATCCCCCATAGGATCATCCCCAATCCCTCCTGTGTCCCCCATAGGATCATCCTCTATGGGATGGGACAATCCCACCCCCACAGGATCATCCCCCATGGGATGGGACAACTCCAATCCCTCCTGTGTCCCCCATAGGATCATCCCCATGGGATGGCCCCAATCCCAACCCCATGTCCCCCATAGGATCATCCCCCATGGGATGGCCCAATCCCACCCCACAGGATCATCCCCATGGGATGGGATGACCCCAATCCCTCCTGTGTCCCCCCCAGGATCATCCCCCATGGGATGGGACAGCCCCAATCCCTCCTGTGTCCCCCACAGGATCATCCCCCATGGGATGGGACACCAATCCCTCCTTGCCCCATAGGATCATCCCCACAGGATGGCCCCAATCCCACCCCCATTGCCCCCACAGGATCATCCCCCATGGAATGGGAAAACTCCAATCCCTCCTGTGCCCCCCACAGGATCATCCCCCATGGGATGGCCCCAATCCCAGAGTGGTTTGGGTTGGAAGATGTCTTTAGGATCACCAGGTTCCACACCCCTGCCACAGGCAGGGACACCTCCCCTGTCCCAGGTGGCTCCAACCTGACCCTGGGCACTCCCAGGGATGCCCCATGGAATTCCAGAGTGGTTTGGGTTGGAAGAGATCTTAAGGGATCACCAGGTTCCAAACCCCTTCCACGGGCAGGGACACCTCCCCCTGTCCCAGGTGGCTCCAACCTGGTTTTGGACACTTCCAGGGATGCCCCATGGAATCCCAGAGTGGTTTGGGTTGGAAGATGTTTTAAGGATCACCAGGTTCCACACCCCTTCCACGGGCAGGGACACCTCCCCCTGTCCCAGGTGGCTCCAACCTGACCCTGGGCACTCCCAGGGATGGGGCAGCCACAGCTTCCCTACAGGCCTGATTTTTTGGGGTGGTTTTTGCCTCTCTTCATCCACCCTGGGAATGCTGAGGGAACACCCAGGGAAGGCAGAGCCCTCCCTCCAGGCCACTCACCAGGAGTCTCGTGGTCAGAGCGTGGGGAGAGGGAAGATTTGCTGCAAAAGAAGGGAGAAAAGAGCATAAGATCGTCCCCCCAGGGGTGGAGCAGCCCCAATCCCACCCCCCTGTCCCCCATAAAATCATCTCCCACGGGGTGGGACAATCCCAATCCCATGTACCCCATAAAATCATCCCCCCCATGGTGGGACAATCCCAATCCCCTGCCCCCCATAAAATCATCCCCCATGGTGGGACAATCCCAATCCCATGTCCCCCATAAAATCATCCCCCACATGGTGGGACAATCCCAATCCCATGTACCCCATAAAATCATCCCCTACAAGGTGGGACAATCCCAATCCCATGTACCCCATAAAATCATCCCCTACAAGGTGGGACAATCCCAATCCCATGTACCCCATAAAATCATCCCCCATGGGATGGGACAATCCCAATCCCATGTCCCCCACAGGATCATCCCCTACAAGGTGGGACAATCCCAATCCCATGTCCCCCATAAAATCATCCCCCACATGGTGGGACAATCCCAATCCCATGTACCCCATAAAATCATCCCCCATGGTGGGACAATCCCAATCCCATGTACCCCATAAAATCATCCCCCATGGGATGGGACAATCCCAACTCTGCATCCCCCATAAAATCATCCCCCAGATGGGACAATCCCAACCCTGCATCCCCCATAAGATCATCCCCAACAAGGTGGGATGGCCCCCATCCCACCCCCAGGTCCCCCACAGGATCATCCCCCACGGGAAGACCCCAATCCCACCCCCATGTCCCCTATAGGATCCCCATGGGATGGTCCCAATCCCTCCTGTGTCCCCCACAGGATCATCCCCCATGGGATGGGACAACCCCAATCCCACCCCCATGTCCCCCACATAGGATCATCTCCAATCCCACCCATGTCCCCCACAGGATCATCCCCCACAGGAAGGCCCCAATCCCACCCCCACAGGATCATCCCCCATAGGATGGGATGGCCCCAACCCCTCCTGTGTCCCACACAGGATCATCCCCCATGGGATGGCCCCAATCCCTCCTGTGTCCCCCCCAGGATCATCCCCCATGGGATGGTCCCAACCTTTTGTGTCCCCCATGGGATGGCCACAATCCCGCCCCCATGTCCCCTATAGGATCATCCCCCATGGGACAACCCCAATCCCACCCCCATGTCCCCCATAGGATCATCCCCCATGGGATGGGACAGCCCCAATCCCTCCTGTGTCCCCCACAGGATCATCCCCCATGGGATGGGAAGGCCCCAATCCCTCCTGTGTCCCCCACAGGATCATCCCCAATCCCACCCATGTCCCCCACAGGATCATCCCCCATGGGATGGCCCCAACCTTTCGTGTCCCCCACAGGATCATCCCCAATCCCTCCTGTGTCCCCCACAGGATCATCCCCCATAGGATCATCCCCAATCCCACTCCCACCTCCACAGGATCATCCCCATGGGATGGGACCCCAATCCCTCCTGTGTTCCCCACAGGATCATCCCCCACGGGAATGCCCCACTCCCACCCCCATTGCCCCCACAGGATCATCCCCATGGGATGGTCCCAACCTCTGTGTCCCCCATGGGATCGTCCACAATCCGCCCCATCCCCTATAGGATCATCCCCCATGGGATGGGAAGGCCCTAATCCCTCCTGTGCCCCCCACAGGATCATCCCCCATGGGATGGGAAGGCCCTAATCCCTCCTGTGCCCCCCACAGGATCATCCCCCATGGGATGGCCCCAATCCCACCCATGTCCTCCCCAGGATCATCCCCCATGGGATGGGATGACCCCAATCCCTCCTGTGCTCCCCACAGGATCATCTCCCATCGAATGGCCCAAATCCCTCCTGTGTCTCCCACAGGATCATCCCCCATGGGATGGTCCCAACCTTTTGTGTCCCCCACAGGATGATCCACAATCCCACTCCCACGTCCCCACAGGATCATCCCTCATGGGATGGCCCCAATCCCTCCTGTGTCCCCCACAGGATCATCCCCCATAGGAAGGCCCCAATCCCACCCCATGTCCCCTATAGGATCATCCCCAAAGGATCATCCACCATGGAATGGGAAAACTCCAATCCCACCCCCACAGGATCATCCCCCATGGGATGGCCCCAATCCCTCCTGTGTCCCCCACAGGATCATCCCCACAGGAAGTGCCCCAATCCCACCCCATGTCCCCCTAGGATCACCCCCTCGGGAATGCCCCCCTCTCCCCCCGTCCCCAGCTGTGGCGGCACCGTTGAGGTCGTAGCGGATCAGGGCCCCTCCGTCCCCCTCCTCCTGCCTCTTCGTGGCCAGGAACACGAGGCTCTTGCACAGCGGGGTCAGGGCGTTGGTGAACGGGGTGGGGGTCACGAATTCCAGCAGGAAGGGCCACAGCACCTGCAGGAAAAGGGAGAGCGTTCCTGTTGTGGGCACGGGACGGAGCCTGGGGCGTGGGAGAGGGAGATGGGACAGTCATGGAATGGGTTGGGTGGAAGGGACCTCAAGGATCATCCATTCCCACCCCCTGACACGGGCAGGGACAGCTCCCACCATCCCAGGGGGATCCAGCCTGGCCTGGGACACTCCCAGGGATCCAAGGGCAGCCACAGCTTCCCTGGGAATTCCAGCCCAGCCAGGAATCCCTTCCCAGTCTCCCCCCTAACCCTGGGCAGCCATTCCCTGTGTGCTGTCCCTCCAGCCCTCATCCCAAATCCCTCTCCAGCTCTCCTGGAGCCCCTTCAGGCCCTGCCAGGGGCTCTCAGGTCTCTCCCTGGATCCTTTCCCTTCTCCAGGGGAACATTCCCAGCTCTCCCAGCCTGGCTCCATCCAGAGCAGGAGTCTCTCAGCTCTCAGGGTGACCCCTCCTCAGGACACCCCAGCCCAGACTGGGGCCCAGCAGCTTCCCAGTGGGATGAGGAGCATTCCCTGGCCAGGGGGACTCACGTGGCTCATCCTGTCCACGGTGGTGCTGAGCAGGAACAGGGTGTTGATGCTGATGCTCCGCACGCCGTCGCTCGTCAGCTCCTCGGGGTCCCCCTTTTTGAGGGGCTGGAAGGGAAATCCCCCCCAAAAAAATAAAAACCCACTCTTGGTTTGGTGCTCTCCCCACAGGGCATTTAAGGGATAAGGGGAAGAGCCCGAGGGTGGGATGGGTTGTGTCATCAGAACCATCCCCCTTCCCAAATCCAGCCTGGTGAACCATCCCCCTTCCCAAATCCAGCCTGGTGAACCATCCCCCTTCCCAAATCCAGCCTGGTGAACCATCCAAATCCAGCCTGGTGAACCATCCCCCTTCCCAAATCCAGCCTGGTGAACCATCCCCTTCCCAAATCCAGCCTGGTGAACCATCCCCTTCCCAAATCCAGCCTGGTGAACCATCCCCCTTCCCAAATCCAGCCTGGTGAACCATCCCCCTTCCCAAATCCAACCTGGTGAACCATCCCCTTCCCAAATCCAGCCTGGTGAACCATCCCCTTCCCAAATCCAGCCTGGTGAACCATCCCCCTTCCCAAATCCAGCCTGGTGAACCATCCAAATCCAGCCTGGTGAACCATCCCCCTTCCCAAATCCAGCCTGGTGAACCATCCCCCTTCCCAAATCCAGCCTGGTGAACCATCCCCTTCCCAAATCCAGCCTCGTGAACCATCCCCTTCCCAAATCCAGCCTGGTGAACCATCCCCCTTCCCAAATCCAGTCTGGTGAACCATCCCCTTCCCAAATCCAGCCTGGTGAACCATCCCCCTTCCCAAATCCAGCCTGGTGAACCATCCCCCTTCCCAAATCCAGCCTGGTGAACCACCCCCCCTTCCCAAATCCAGCCTGGTGAGCCATCCCCTTCCCAAATCCAGCCTGGTGAACCCCCCCCCCCTCCCAAATCCAGCCTGGTGAACCATCCCCCTTCCCAAATCCAGCCTGGTGAACCATCCAAATCCAGCCTGGTGAACCATCCCCTTCCCAAATCCAGCCTGGTGAACCATCCAAATCCAGCCTGGTGAACCATCCCCCTTCCCAAATCCAGCCTGGTGAACCATCCCCCTCTCCCAAATCCAGCCTGGTGAACCATCCCCCTTCCCAAATCCAGCCTGGGGGGCAGGGGGTGGGCAGAGGGTGGGGGGCACCAGGGCAGCCCCCTCCCAGGTCTGGTTGGTGTGGAGGGAACATCCTTGGGATGCAGGGAGAGGGGTCCCCGTGGTGTCCCCCCCCTGCTCCGTGGGGAAAAAGGGGGGGTGGGGAAAGTGGGAGGGAAAAATAAAAGAGGGGGAAAAAGGACACATAAAACAGGGAAAAAAGTGTGGGAAGAAAAGGGTGGAAATAAGGGGGAAATAATAAGGAAAGAGGGAATAATAAGGAAAGGGAATAATAAGGAAAGGGGGAAATAAAGGGGGGAATAAGAGGGGAATAAAGGGGGAATAAAGGAGGGAATAAAGGGGGAATATAGGGGAAATAAGGGAGATAAGGGGGAAATAAGGGGGGAAAAGGGGAAGGAAAAGGGGAAGGAAAGGGGGAAGGAAAAGGGGGAAGGAGAAAAGGAAAGGAAAGGGAAGGAGAGAAAGGAGAGGAAAAGGGGGAAAGGGAGGAAAAGGGGAAAGGGGCAGAGAAAAAGGGGGAGAAAAAGCAGGGGGCAGGGAAAAGAAAGGGGCAGGAAAAGAAAGGGGCAGGAAAAGGGGGAATATAAGAGGGGGAATAAAGAGGGGGAATAAAGAGGGAATAAAGGGGGAATAAAGGAGAATAAAGGGGGAATAAAGGGGGAATAAAGGGGGAATAAAGAGGAGAATAAAGGAGGGGAATAAAGGGGGAATAAAGGGGGAATAAAGAGGGGGAACAAAGAGGAGGAACAAAGAGGGGAATAAAGAGGGGAATAAAGGGAGAAGAAAGAGAGGAGACAGAGGGGGAATAAAGAGGGGGAATAAAGAGGGGGAATAAAGGGGGAATAAAGGGGGAATAAAGGGGGGAATAAAGAGGGGGAATAAAGAGGGGGAATAAAGAGGGAATAAAGAGGGGGAATAAAGGGGGAATAAAGAGGGAACTAAAGGGGGAATAAAGAGGGAATAAAGGGGGAATAAAGAGGGGAATAAAGAGGGGGAATAAAGAGGGGGAATAAAGAGGGGGAATAAAGGGGGAATAAAGGGGGGAATAAAGAGGGGAATAAAGGGGGAATAAAGGGGGAATAAAGGGGGAAGAGAAGGAGAGAATAGAGGGGGAGAATAAAGGGGGAATAAAGAGGGGAATAAAGGGGGAATAAAGGGGAACAAAGGGAATAAAGGGGGAAGAGAAGGAGAGGAACAGAGGGGGAGAATAAAGGGGGAATAAAGAGAGGGAATAAAGAGGGGGAATAAAGGGGGAATAAAGGGGAATAAAGAGGGAATAAAGGGGAATAAAGGGAGAATAAAGAGGGGGAATAAAGGGGGAATAAAGGGGGAAGAGAAGAGAGGAATAGAGGGGGAATAAAGAGGGAATAAAGGGGGAATAAAGAGGGAATAAAGAGGGAATAAAGGGGAATAAAGGGGAATAAAGGGGGGAATAAAGAGGGGAATAAAGTGGGGAAGAGAAGGAGGAATAGAGGGGGAATAAAGGGGAATAAGAGGGGAATAAAGGGGGAATAAGGGGGGAATTAAGGGGGAATAAAGGGGGAATAAAGAGGGGAATAAAGAGGGAATAAAGGGGGAATAAAGAGGGGGAATAAAGAGGGGGAATAAAGGGGGAATCAAGGGGAATAAAGAGGGGGAATAAAGAGGGGGAATAAAGGGGGAATAAGGGGGAATGGAGGGGAGCAATGGGGTGGGGAATTAAATGTGGGGGATAAGGGGATGGTACAGGAGGGGTTTGCCCCTGGAGCTCACCCCGCTGGGGGGGGGCAGGGCACACTGCCGCACCAGGAACTCCAGCATGGCCTCCCCCCCCGGCTGCTCCAGGTACCCGTGGTGAGCCATGGCACTGATCACCTGCACCAGCGCCCGCCGCACCTGCAGGGGGGCACTGCCATCAGCAGGGGGGCACAGACCTCGGGGTGGGGGGCACAGACATCAGCAGGGGGGCAGAGACCTCGGCATGGGGGCAGAGACATCAGCAGGGGGCACAGACATCAGCAGGGGGCAGAGACATCAGCAGGGGGCAGCAGACATCAGCATGGGGGCAGAGACATCAGCAGGGGGGCAGAGACATCAGCATGGGGGCACTGACATCAGCAGGGGGCAGAGACCTCGGGGTGGGGGCACAGACATCAGCATGGGGGCAGAGACATCAACAGGGGGCACAGACATCAGCAGAGGGCAGAGACATCAGCATGGGGGCAGAGACATCAGCATGGGGTACTGCACATCAGCATGGAGGCACAGACATCAGCATGGGGGCAGTACTGCCATCAGCATGGGGGCAGACTGACATCAGCAGGGGGCAGAGACATCAGCATGGGGGCAGAGACATCAGCATGGGGGCAGAGACCTCGGGGTGGGGGCACAGACATCAGCATGGGGGGCAGAGACATCAGCATGGGGGCACAGACATCAGCAGGGGGGCAGAGACATCAGCATGGGGGGCACAGACATCAGCATGGGGGGCAGAGACATCAGCATGGGGGGCACAGACATCAGCATGGGGGGCAGAGACATCAGCATGGGGGCACTGCACATCAGCATGGGGGCACAGACATCAGCAGGGGGCAGAGACATCAGCATGGGGGCACAGACATCAGCAGGGGGGTACTGCCATCAGGATGGGGGCAGAGACATCAGCATGGGGGGCAGAGACATCAGCATGGGGGCACTGCCATCAGCATGGGGGCAGAGACATCAGCATGGGGGGCACAGACATCAGCATGGGGGGCACAGACATCAGCATGGGGGGCACTGCCATCAGCATGGGGGGCAGAGACATCAGCATGGGGGGCAGAGACATCAGCATGGGGGCAGAGACATCTGGCATGGGGGCAGAGACATCAGCAGGGGGCAGCAGACATCAGCAGGGGGCAGAGACATCAGCAGGGGGGGCAGCGTCAATAGGATGGGGACACGGCAATCGGGATGGGGGCACCCCAGTCGGGATGGGGGCACCTCAATCAGGAGGGGGGCACCCAAATCAGGAGGGGGCACCTCAATCAGGAGGGGGGCACCCAAATCAGGAGGGGGCACCTCAATCAGGAGGGGGGCACCCAAATCAGGAGGGGGGCACCTCAATCAGGAGGGGGGCACCCAAATCAGGAGGGGGAACCTCAATCAGGATGGGGGCAGCTCAGTCAGGATGGGGGTACCTCAGTGAGGAGGGGGCACCCAAATCAGGAGGGGGGCAGCTCAATCAGGAGGGGGAACCTCAATCAGGAGGGGGGCACCTCAATGAGGAGGGGGCACCCAAATCAGGAGGGGGGCAGCTCAATCAGGAGGGGGAACCTCAATCAGGAGGGGGAACCTCAATCAGGAGGGGGGCACCTCAATAAGGAGGGGGGCACCACAATCAGGAGGGGGGCACCTCAATCAGGATGGGGCTTCAAGGTCCCCCAAATCCCCCTCCTCTGCCCCAGGTGGCTCCAAGCCCCCTCCAACCTTGGTTCATGGACATCCAGGTGCCTCAGGTGGTCCCACGCAGTGCGTGGGAAGATCAAATTTGGGACCACCTGAGGCACCTGAACGTGCAGGGACTTTGGTGGGAAGGGGCTCCAGGAAGAAACCCCCACCCCTGGCCCCCAAAGGACCCCCTGGCAGAGCAGCAGCTCGGGGGTTACCTTGTTGTTGCTGTCCTGGAGAGGGAGTTTCATAAAGGAGAGGATAAAGGGCTTCTTGATCTCCATCTGAGAGGCTGCAAACCAGGGAAGACACACTCAGAGTTCTCCAGACCCTTCCCAGCTCCCTCAGTTTTTTTCCAGGCCCTTCCCAGCTCCCCCAGGAGTTCTCCAGACCCTTCCCAGCTCCCTCAGGAGTTCTCCAGACCCTTCCCAGCTCCCCCAGGAGTTCTCCAGACCCTTCCCAGCTCCCCAGGAGTTCTCCAGACCCTTCCCAGCTCCCCCAGGAGTTTTTTCCAGACCCTCCCCAGCTCCCCCAGGAGTTCTCCAGACCCTTCCCAGCTCCCTCAGGTTTTTTCCAGACCCTTCCCAGCTCCCCCAGGAGTTCTCCAGACCCTTCCCAGCTCCCTCAGGAGTTCTCCAGACCCTCCCCAGCTCCCTCAGGAGTTCCCCAGGAGTTCTCCAGACCCTTCCCAGCTCCCTCAGGAGTTCTCCAGACCCTCCCCAGCTCCCTCAGGAGTTCTCAGGAGTTCTTCCAGACCCTTCCCAGCTCCCTCAGGAGTTTCTCCAGACCCTTCCCAGCTCCCTCAGGAGTTCTCCAGACCCTTCCCAGCTCCCCCAGGAGTTCTCCAGACCCTTCCCAGCTCCCTCAGGTTTTTTCCAGACCCTTCCCAGCTCCCTCAGGTTTTTTCCAGACCCTTCCCAGCTCCCTCAGGAGTTCTCCAGACCCTTCCCAGCTCCCTCAGGAGTTCTCCAGACCCTTCCCAGCTCCCTCAGGAGTTCTCCAGACCCTTCCCAGCTCCCCCAGGAGTTTTCCAGACCCTTCCCAGCTCCCTCAGGAGTTCTCCAGACCCTTCCCAGCTCCCCCAGGAGTTCTCCAGACCCTTCCCAGCTCCCTCAGGAGTTCTCCAGACCCTTCCCAGCTCCCCCCAGGAGTTCTCCAGACCCTTCCCAGCTCCCCCAGGAGTTCTCCAGACCCTTCCCAGGGACTCACGGGCGCTGTTGATGATCTGCCTCATGATGAGCAGGGTCCCCACACGGGTCCTCTCGTTGTTGCTCTCCAGTTTTGGGAGCAGGAAGGCCAGGACACGGTCCGGGAAGGAGCAGGCTGTGGGATGGTGCAGGTCCCACAGGGAGAGAGAAACACGGGATTAGGGAATGGTTTGGGAGGGAAAAATCCCCCCCGAGCCCACCAGGTCCACCCAGCCCTGCCCAGCCCGTGTCCCCAAGTGTCACATCCACAGGGATGGTCAATCCCCCAGGGGTGGGGATCCAGCCCCTTCCCAGGAGGGATTTCCCCCAATATCCCAAATAAACCTCCCCTGGCACAACTTCAGACCGTTTCCTCTCATCCTGCCCCTCGTTCCCCAGGAAAAAATCCTGAATCCCACCTGGTGTCACCTCCTTGCCCCCTCCTTGGAGTCCTCCACGGACCTTCCAGCCCCTTCCCAGTAGGGATTTCCCCAATATCCCAAATAAACCTCCCCTGGCACAACTTCAGACCATTTCCTCTCATCCTGCTCCTCGTTCCCCAGGAAAAAATCCTGAATCCCACCCGGTGTCACCTCCTGCCCCCTCCTTGGAGTCCCCCACGGACCTTCCAGCCCCTTCAGCAGATCCCCATTCCCACCCAGCCTCAAAATTTGGGATTTTGGGGGGGTGGGGGAGGCAAACACAACCCCCACGTGGACAGATCCCAACCCTGCTCTTCCCATCCATCCATCCCCGAGCTTTCCCCTCCCCAGCACTCCCAGCCCTTTCCCTCAGCTCCCCATTCCCACCCAGCCTCAAAATTTGGGATTTTAGGGGGGAGCAAAGCAAACACAACCCCACATGGACAGATCCCAATCCCACTCTTCCCATCCATCCATCCCTGAGCTTTCCCCTCCCCAGCACTCCCAGCTCTCTTTCCCTCAGCTCCACATTCCCACCCAGCCTCAAAATTTGGGATTTTGGGAGACCAACCCCCATACATCCAACCCCCCCACTCTTCCCATCCACCACCTGGAGCTCGCAGATCCCAATCCCACTCTTCCCATCCAGCCATCCATCCCCGAGTTTCCCCCTCCCCAGCACTCCCAGCTCTTTTTCCCTCAGCTCCCCGAGCAGCAGCAGGAGTTGAAAAGGATCCTCCCAACAAGTTCTGCCCTGTCTTGTCCAAATATTTGGGTGGCTAAAAATAAAACACCCTCGGTCTGTGGCTGCTGGAAGTGGAGCAACACTCGTGGGAGCTGGGGGAGGAGGAGGAGGAGGAGGAGGAGGAGGAGGAGGAGGAGGAGGAGAAGGAGGAGGAGAAGGAGGAGGCAAGATGAGCCCTTCCAAGGCAGGATTGATGGGGGGAAAAACAAAAAAAAGGCAGCTGGGCCATGGGTTTGAGGGCAGGAATGCCAGCAGGGAAGGGCCAGCACCCGAGGGTGACTCAGCAGCAGCTCCTCCAGAGCAGGGCTGCTCTTTTCCCGCCGGGAATCACGGAATTGTTTACCCTGGAAAAGCCCTCAGGGCCCACAGAGCCCACCCCACCACCCAGCAGTGCCAGGGACAGCCCTAACCCTGTCCCCAAGTGCCACCTCCTCCCCAGGGATGGGCAATCCCCCCTCCAGGGATGGGGATACAGCCCTTTCCAGGAGGGATTTTCCCAAATATCCCAAACAAAGCTCCCCTGGCACAGCCTGGGGTTGTTCCCCTTGTCCTGTCCCTGTTCCCTGGGAGCAGAGCCCGATTCCCACCCGGTGTCCCCTCCTGTCCCCCTGGAATTCCCCCTGAGCCCCCTTTTCTCCAGGCTGAGCCCCCTCCCAGCTCCCTCAGGAGTTCTCCAGACCCTTCCCAGCTCCCCCAGGAGTTCCCCAGGATTTCTCCAGACCCTTCCCAGCTCCCTCAGGAGTTCTCCAGACCCTTCCCAGCTCCCCCAGGAGTTCTCCAGACCCTTCCCAGCTCCCCCAGGAGTTCCCCAGGAGTTCTCCAGACCCTTCCCAGCTCCCTCAGGAGTTTATTCCAGACCCTTCCCAGCTCCCTCAGGAGTTTTTCCCAGACCCTTCCCAGCTCCCCCAGGAGTTCTCCAGACCCTTCCCAGCTCCCTCAGTTTTTTTCCAGACCCTTCCCAGCTCCCTCAGGAGTTCTCCAGACCCTTCCCAGCTCCCCCAGGAGTTCTCCAGACCCTTCCCAGCTCCCTCAGGAGTTCTCCAGACCCTTCCCAGCTCCCCCAGGAGTTCTCCAGACCCTTCCCAGCTCCATTCCCACCCCTGGGAACGTCTCCAGCTCAGCCCAACCACAAAGGCCCTCACTGAGCCCTGACCATCTGCTGGCCACCCAAAACGAGGCACAGCACCAGGATGGGGAGGGGATTCACGGATTCATGGAATGGTTTGGGTGGGAAGGGACCTCAAAGCCCACCCCTGTCCCACCCCCCTTGCCAAGGGCAGGGACACCTCCCACCAGCCCAGGCTGCCCAGAGCTCCAATCCCCCGAGTGCTGCCCTGCAGGACCCAGCTCTGGAGGTCTCAGGGGGTTCTCCAGCTCCAAAAGGGCTGTGGAGAAACCCCTGGAACCGAGGCCAGCACTTTGGGAAGGTCCCTGGAGGGGACGTTCACCACCCCCTGGCCGGGGGGATGTCCCACCCTGAGCCCAGAGGGGACCAGGGGGATCCAAAAATCCTCAGGATCCCCAAATCCAAGGGCCTGGAGAGGAGCAGGAATGCCAGGAGAGCCTCCAACCAAGGGGTTGGGATCACCCAGCCCTTACCCAGGACGGTGAAGCAGCGCAGAACCTCGGTGTGGTTTTTGCCGCTCAGGGGCACGGCGGGGTCTGCAGGAGCACAGATCTGTGGGGAGGGGGGAAGAGAGACCCCCACCCAGGTGAGGGGAGAGAGACAGAGAGACCCCCACCCAGGTCAGGGGGGAGAGAGACAGAGAGACCCCCACCCAGGTGAGGGGAGAGAGACCCCCACCCAGGTGAGGGGAGAGAGACAGAGAGACCCCCACCCAGGTGAGGGAAGAGAGACAGAGACCCCCACCCAGGTGAGGGGAGAGAGACCCCCACCCAGGTCAGGGAAGAGAGACCCCCACCCAGGTGAGGGAAGAAAGACAGAGAGACCCCCACCCAGGTCAGGGGAGAGAGACCCCCACCCAGGTCAGGGGAGAGAGACAGAGAGACCCCCACCCAGGTGAGGGGAGAGAGACAGAGAGACCCCCACCCAGGTGAGGGAAGAGAGACAGAGAGACCCCCACCCAGGTGAGGGGAGAGAGACCCCCAGCCAGGTGAGGGAAGAGAGAAAGAGAGACCCCCACCCAGGTCAGGGACAGCACCCAGAACGGGGCTGGGGAGGTGGCACAGCCAGGCCTGGGACACACACAGAGCCCTGGGCTGGGGGGTGACACTGGGTGACAGTCCCAGGGTGGGTGACACTGTGCCAGCATGGGTGACACTGTCCCAGGGTGGGGTGACACTGTCCCAGCATGGGTGACACTGTCCTATGGGAGGTGACACTGTCCCAGGGTGGGTGACACTGTCCTAGCACAGGTGACACTGTCCCAGCACAGGTGACACTGTCCTAGCATGGGTGACACTGTGCCGGAAGGGTGACACTGTCCCAGCACAGGTGACACTGTCCCAGGGTGGGGGTGACACTGTCCCAGGGGGGGTGACACTGTCCCAGCACAGGTGACACTGTCCCAGGGTGGGTGACACTGTCCCAGGGCAGGTGACACTGTCCCAGGGTGGGTGACACTGTCCCAGGGTGGGTGACACTGTCCCAGTACAGGTGACACTGTCCCAGCACAGGTGACACTGTCCCAGGGTGGGTGACACTGTCCCAGCACAGGTGACACTGTCCCAGCACAGGTGACACTGTCCCAGCACAGGTGACACTGTCCCAGGGTAGGTGACACTGTCCCAGGGGGGGTGACACTGTCCTAGCATGGGTGACACCGTCCCAGGGGGGTGACACTGTCCCAGGGTGGGTGACACTGTCCCAGGGGGGGGTGACACTGTCCCAGCACAGGTGACACTGTCCCAGCACGGGTGACACTGTCCCAGGGGGGTGACACTGTCCCAGGGGTGGGTGACACTGTCCCAGCACAGGTGACACTGTCCCAGGGGGTGACACTGTCCCAGTACAGGTGACACTGTCCCAGCACAGGTGACACTGTCCCAGCACAGGTGACACTGTCCCAGGGGGGGTGACACTGTCCCAGCACAGGTGACACTGTCCCAGGGTGGGTGACACTGTCTCAGCACAGGTGACACTGTCCCAGCACGTCGTCATCACCTCTGGGACCCCCTCAAAATGAGCCCTGCAATGGTTTGGGTGGAAAAACCTTAAAGATCATTTAATTCCAGGGCAGGGACATCTCCCACCATCCCAGGGGGATCCAGCCTGGCCTGGGACACTCCCAGGGATCCAGGGGCAGCCACAGCTTCTCTGGGAATTCCAGCCCAGCCCCTCCCCAAAAATCCCTTCCCAATCTCCCCCCTAACCCTGGGCAGCCATTCCCTGTGTCCCATCCCTCAATCCCTCATCCCAAATCCCTCTCCAGCTCTCCTGGAGCCCCTTCAGGCCCTGGATATTCCCGGACTCCCTCTCGGAGTGCAGGGCAGTGCCATCTGCTCCGGAACCCCTGGATGAGCAGGAACCCCCCCCCAGCCCCGAGCCCTTTGAGCTCCAGCACAGAGACCCTCGGGATTTGGGCTTTGCTTCCCCCAAAGGCAGGGGGTGCTTTGGGGGCCGGGCAGGTCCCGGCCCCGCAGGGATCCCGCGGGAGCCGCTGGAATGCGGCTCTGGAGCGGCTCCTTCATCTCCTGCCCGCCCGGAATGCCGAGGGCCGGCGATGCTGCCGTGGCTCTGGGAGGAGCGGGAGCAGCCCCGGGATGGGATGGGATGGGATGGGATGGGATGGGATGGGGTGGGGATGAGCTCCCAGCTCTGCCCATGCCGCAGGGGACGAGCTTTGTGCCCTCCGGAGCCAGGGACAGGCGGGGCTGGAAGGGCCGCTCCCACCTCGGGAGCCCGGGATGCTCCGCCTGGGAATGGGGGGGCCTTAAAAAGGGGCCTTAAATGGCACCCAGTGCCAGCCCTGGGACAGCTCCCACCACCCCAGGCTGCTCACTCACAGCTGGCCCTGGGCACTCCCAGGGCTGGGGCAGCCCAGAGACCCCGGGATCGTGGAGCCCCTCCCAGCTCCCCCCCCAAAAACCCCAAATCCCACCCCCTGGGACAGCTCCCACCACCCCAGGCTGCTCACTCACAGCTGGCCTCAGGCACTCCCAGGGCTGGGACAGCCCAGAGACCCTGGGATTGTGGAGCCCCTCCCAGCTCCCCCCCCAAAAACCCCAAATCCCAGCCCCTGGGACAGCTCCCACCACCCCAGGCTGCTCGGAGCTGGCCCTGGGCACTCCCAGGGTTGGGGCAGCCCCGGAGACACCGGGATCGTGGAGCCCCTCCCAGCTCCCCCCCCAAAAACCCCAAATCCCACCCAGTGCCAGCCCTTGGACAGCTCCCACCACCCCAGGCTGCTCACTCACAGCTGGCCCTGGGCACTCCCAGGGTTGGGGCAGCCCAGAGACCCTGGGATTGTGGAGCCCTTCCCAGTTCCCCCCTCAAAAACCCCAAATCCCACCCTGACCCCCTGCCCCAGCCCCACCTGGGGGTGCAGGGTCCCCAGCAGGGCATCCAGCTGCACGTCCAGGCTGCGGCTGCCGATGTCCACCGAGGCCTCCAGGATCTGGGACAGGCTCTGGGAGGGCACAGAGAGGGTCAGGGGAGGGGGGTTAAATCCCTCCCCCATGACTTGCAGGCTGCCAGGGCTGGAATTGTGCCCAGTATCCCAAATAAACCCCCCCTGGCACGGCCTGAGGTCGTTCCCCTCTCCCTCCTGTCCCTGTTTTCTGGGAGCAGAGCCCGAATTTCACCGGTTCCCCACTCCTGGCAGGGATTGCAGAGCCAGAAGGTCCCCCTGAGCCTCCTTTTCTCCAGGCTGAGCCCCCCCAGCTCCCTCAGCCCCTCCTGCCCCTTCCCAGCTCATTCCCTGGACGTTCCAACCCCGGGATTTGGGACAGGGGGTGCCCCTGCTCACCTTGGAGATGTAAAAAGCCTCGGTGTGTTTCTTGTAGAGGCCCAGGATGGCGGGAATGAGCTTTGGGAGCTGCTCCTCCAGCTTCTCGCTGGGCATCAGGGAACTCATGGGCCCCAGGGCCTCCACCACGGCCAGCCTGAGCTGCAGGGACAGGGAGGGACATCCAGGGACCCCCAAATCCACACCCAGGGGGGCTCAGCCCCAACAATTCCACACCCAGGGGGCTCAGCCCCAACAATTCCACACCCAGGGGGGCTCAGCCCCAACAATTCCACACCCAGGGGCTCAGCCCCAACAATTCCACACCCAGGGGGCTCAGCCCCCCAGTTCCACGCCCAGGGGGGCTCAGCCTCCCCAGTTCCACACCCAGAGGGTTCTCAGCCCCCCCAGTTCCTCATTCAGAGAGTCCCCAAATCTTCCCCCAGGGAGGTCTCAGACCCCCAAACCCTCACCCAGAGGGGTCTCATCCCCCTCAATTCCACACCCAGAGGGGCCTCACCCCCCCCAATTCCACACCCAGGGATGTCCCAACCCCCCAACTCCACATCCAAGGAGGTCTCAATCCTCCAAATTCTCTCCCCAGGGAGGTCTCAGCCCCACCAATTCCACACCCAGAGGGGTCTCAGCCCCCCCAGTCCCACACCCAGGGATGTCCCAACCACCCAACTCCACACTGAGAAGGCCTCAACCCCCCCAAATCCTCTCCCCAGGGAGGTCTCACCCCCCTTCAATTCCACACCCAGAGGGGTCTCAGCCCCCCAACTCCTCATTCAGAGAGTCCCCAAATCTTCCCCCAGGGAGGTCTCATCCCCATCAACTCCACACCCAGAGGGTCTCATCCCCCCCAATCCCACACCCAGGGATGTCCCAACCCCCCAGCTCCACACTGAGAAGGCCTCAAACCCCCCAAATTCCACACCCAGGGTGGGGTCTCAGCCCCCCAAGTTCCTCATTCAGAATTATCAGGGTCCCCAAATCTTCCCCCAGAGAGGTCTCAGACCCCAAATTCTCTTCCAAGGAGGTCTCATCCCCCAGTCCCACACCCAGGGATGTCCCAACCACCCAACTCCACATCTAAGGAAGTCTCAGACCCCCAAACCCTCACCCAGGAGGGTCTCAGCCCCAACAATTCCACACCCAGAGGGGTCTCATCCCCCCCAATTCCACACCCAGAGGGGTCTCATCCCCCCCAATCCCACACCCAGGGATGTCCCAACCCCCCAACTCCACACCCAGAGGGGTCTCAGCCCCCCCAATTCCACACCCAGAGGGGTCTCAGCCCCCCCAATTCCACACCCAGAGGGGTCTCAGCCCCCCCAATTCCACACCCAGAGGGGTCTCAGCCCCCCCAATTCCACACCCAGAGGGTCTCAGCCCCCAATTCCACACCCAGAAGGGTCTCAGCCCCCCCAATTCCACACCCAGAGGGGTCTCAGTCCCCCCAATTCCACACCCAGGGATGTCCCAAGCCCCCAACTCCACACTGAGAAGGCCTCAACCCCCCCAAATCCTCTCTCCAGGGGGGGTCTCAGCCCCCCCAGTTCCACACCCAGAGGGGTCTCAGCCCCCCCAGTTCCACACCCAGAGGGGTCTCAGCCCCCCCAGTTCCACACCCAGAGGGGTCTCAACCCCCCCAGTTCCTCATTCAGAGTTCTCAGGGTCCCCAAATCTTCCCCCAGGGAGGACTCAGACCCCAAATCCTCTTCCAAGGAGGTCTCATTCTCCCCCAAGCCCTCACCCAGATGGGTCTAACCCCCCCAGTTCCACACCCAGAGGGGTCTCAGCCCCCCAACTCCTCATTCAGAGAGTCCCCAAATCTCCCCCCAGGGAGGTCTCAGACCCCCAACTCTACATCCAAGGAGGTCTCAGCCCCCCCAACTCCACACCCAGGGATGTCCCAAGCCCCCAACTCCACTTTCAGAAGGTCTCAACCCCCCAAATCCTCACTCCAGGGTGGGTCTCACCCCCCCAGCCCCCCCCAGGGTCGGGGGTCTCCCCGTGCCCACCTTGGCCTCGCGGTGCTGGGCCCAGGCGTTGAAGAGCACCTCGTAGGCGCAGAAGATGTCGCTGGAGAAGCTGTCCCTCCTCACCGTGGGGTCGGGGCCTGGTCCAGGTTGGCCAGGTACTCCTGGATGCTCTCACTGAAGCGCTGCAGGGCTGGGACAAACACCCCAGGCTCGGAATTCCCCACGGGAAAGGGTCAGAACCAACCCCATCCCCCCCAAAAAAAAACCCAGCTGAGGGACTGGGAGCATCTCCAGGGACAGGGCCTCGACAGCACAAGGATGTGGAGCTGCTGGAGGGAACCCAGAGGGGACACAGGGATGGAGCCAGGCTGGGAGAGCTGGGAATGTTCCCCTGGAGAAGGGAAAGGATCCAGGGAGATCCTTGGAGAACCTTCCAGGGCCTGAAGGGGCTCCAGGAGAGCTGGAGAGGGATTTGGGATGAGGGCTGGAGGGACAGCACACAGGGAATGGCTGCCCAGGGTTAGGGGGGAGATTGGGAAGGGATTCCTGGCTGGGTTGGAATTCCCAGGGAATCTCTGGATGCCCCTGGATCCCTGGGAGTGTCCCAGGCCAGGCTGGATCCCCCTGGGATGGTGGGAGCTGTCCCTGCCCATGGGACTGGATAAGAATTAAGGTCCCTTCATCCCAATCCACCCCAGAATTCCAGGATTCCTGGCAGGCTGGGTCAGGCTCAGCCCCTCAGGGGGGGGTTTGGCAGCTCCTGGCTGAGCAGGGGCCACAGGGTGGGATCCCAGGGGGGCTTTTCCTGCTGGGAATTGGCTGTCAGTGTGAAGGATCCATCCATCCATCCATCCATCCCTCCATCCATCCATCCATCCATCCCATCCTTCCATCCACCACATCCATCCATCCACCCATCCATCCCTCCATCCATCCATCCATCCATCCATCCATCCATCCATCCATCCATCCATCCATCCTATCTTCATCCACTCTACATCCATCCATCCATCCACCCATCCATCCCTCCATCCACCCATCCATCCACCCATCCATCCCTCCATCCATCCATCCATCCATCCCATCCTTCCATCCACCACATCCATCCATCCATCCACCCATCCATCCCTCCATCCATCCATCCATCCATCCATCCATCCATCCATCCATCCACCCATCCATCCATCCATCCATCCCTCCATCCATCCATCCATCCATCCATCCATCCATCCATCCATCCATCCATCCATCCATCCACCCATCCATCCATCCATCCATCCATCCATCCACCCATCCATCCATCCCAACATCCATCCACCCATCCATCCACCCATCCATCCATCCATCCATCCACCCATCCATCCATCCATCCATCCCTCCATCCATCCATCCATCCATCCACCCATCCATCCATCCATCCATCCATCCACCCATCCATCCATCCATCCATCCCTCCATCCATCCATCCATCCATCCATCCATCCACCCATCCATCCATCCCTCCATCCATCCATCCATCCACCCATCCATCCACCCATCCATCCCTCCATCCCATCCCAGCTGGCACAGGGAATGCCTGTGTTCCCACCTGGAAAGCCTCTGCCACGGCTCTCCCAGCTTCCTCACCCCCCTGTGTGAGTCATTCCATGGAATCAGGGGAGGCTTTGGGTGGGAAGGGACCGTAAATCCCATCCTGTTCCAAGCCTAATCCCATTCCCACCCCCTGCCACGGGCAGGGACATCTCCCACTAATCCCAGGGAGCTCCAAGCTGGCCTTGGATGCTCCCAGGAGGAGATGGGGCAGCCACGGCGCTCCCAGGCGACATCAGCCCCAAAACATTTGGGAATCTCGGAGCTGCTCCCAGGGAAAGCTCCACGTGGTGCCCACAAAATCATGGAACTGTTCAGGCTGGGAAAAAAAATCCCTGGGAGTCCTCAGAGTCCCCCCCCAAGCCCAGCCCTGCCCCTGTCCCCAAGTGCCACCTCCCCAGGGCTGGGCAGCCCCTTCCCAGGAGGGATTTATTCCCCCAAAATCCCAAATAAAGCTCCCCTGAGGCCCTTTCCTCTCGTCCTGCCCCTCGTTCCCGGGGAGCAGAGCCCGATTCCTGCCTGGCTCCCTCCTCCTGTCCCCCTGGGACCCCCTGGAGCCCCCCGACCCCCTGTTCCCCAGGCTGAGCCCCCAGCCCTCCCCATCCCATGATCCTGGATCACTCCCCGTGGGTGGGTGGGGGTGACTCAAGACCCCCTCCCTCCCTGCCCCTGGATGTGCCCACGTTTTCCTGCCCAGGGGAGGAAGAGGAGGAGGAAGGAGCTCCCCAATCACCCCCCCAGCACGAGTTCATCGCCCTGCAGGGACACCACGAGCTGCTGAGTCACTGCAGGGCCCTCCTGCTCAGTCTGGGACCCCTCTGGCACCCCTCTCTGCCCCCTGGAATCCCTCTCTGCCCTCTGGGACCCCTCTCTGCCCCCTGGCACCCCAAACTGCCCTCTGGGAGCCCTCTCTGCCCCCTGGCACCCCTCTCTGCCCCCTGGCACTCCCTCTCTGCCCCCTGGCACCCCTCTCTGCCCTCTGGGAGCCCTCTCTGCCCCCTGGGACCCCTCTCTGCCCCCTGGAATCCCTCTCTGCCCCCTGGGACCCCTCTCTGCCCCCTGGGACCCCTCTCTGCCCTCTGGGACCCCTCTCTACCCTCTGGCACCCCTCTCTGCCCTCTGGGACCCCTCTGGGACCCCTCTCTGCCCCCTGGCACCCCTCTCTGCCCCCTGGGACCCCTCTCTGCCCCCTGGCACCCCCCTCTGCCCTCTGGGACCCCTCTCTGCCCCCTGGGACCCTCAAACTGCTCCCCAGGGATGAGGAAGGGCTTGGGGGGGATATTTCAGTGTTCTGCTGGTCCTCAGGGGGGTCAGGGACGCCCAAACTGCTCCCCAGGGATGGGAAATGGCTCAGAGGGGACATCCCAGGTTTATCCTGGTCCTCAGGGGGGGCAGGGACCCCCAAACTGCTCCCTGGGGATGGGAAATGGCTCAGAGGGCACATCCTGGGCTTGTCCTGGTTCTCCTGGGGGGCAGGAACTCCCAACCTGCTCCACAGGGATGGGAAATGGCTCAGAGGGCACATCCTGGGCTTGTCTTGGTCCTCGGGGGGGGCAGGGACCCCCAAACTGCTCCCCAGGGATGGGGAGGGCTCAGAGGGGACATCCCAGATTTATCCTGGGCCTCAGGGGGATCAGGAACCCTCAACCTGCTCCATAGGGATGGGAAAGGGCTCAGAGGGCACATCCTGGGCTTGTCCTGGTTCTTCTGGGGGGCAGGAACCCCCAAACTGCTCCCCAGGGATGGGGAGGACTCAGAGGGGACATCCCAGATTTATCCTGGTCCTCAGGGTGAGCAGGGACCCCCAAACTGCTCCCCAGGGATGAAGAAGGGCTTGGAGGAGATATTTCAGGGTTCTGTTGGTCTTCAGGAGGGGCAGGGACTCCCAAACTGCTCCCCAGGGATGGGAAATGGCTCAGAGGGGACATCCTGGGCTTGTCCTGGTTCTTCTGGGGGGCCGGAACCCCCAAACTGCTCCCCAGGGATGGGAAAGGGCTCAGATGGGACATCCTGGGCTTGTCCTGCTCCTTGAAGGGGCAGGACCCTCAAACTGCTCCCCAGGGATGAGGAAATGGCTTGGGGGGGATATTTCAGGGTTCTGCTGGTCCTCAGGGGGGTCAGGAACCCTCAACCTGCTCCCCAGGGATGGGAAAGGGCTCAGAGGGGACATCCTGGGCTTGTCCTGGTTCTCCTGGAGGGCAAGGACCCTCAAACTGCTCCCCAGGGATGGGAAATGGCTCAGGGGGCACATCCTGGGCTTGTCCTGGTTCTCATGGGGGGTAGGAACCCTCAAACTGCTCCCCAGGGATGAGGAAACGGCTCACAGGGGACATCCCAGATTTATCCTGGTCCTCAGGGGGAGCAGGGACCCCCAAACTGCTCCCCAGGGATGGGAAAGGGCTCAGAGGGGACATCCCAGGTTTATCCTGGTCCTCAGGGGGGCAGGGACCCCCAAACTGCTCCCCAGGGATGGGAAAGGGCTCAGAGGGCACATCCTGGGCTTGCCCTGGTCCTTGGAGGGGCAGGACCCCCAAACTGCTCCCCAGGGGATGAGGAAGGGCTTGGAGGGGATATTTCAGAGTTCCCTGGTGCTCCCTGGACATTCTGAATCCCAGAACTGGGATTCCCAGCTGGGAGGGGTCAGGAAGCTCCCAGCTCCCCCCGCCCCACCCCAGCACCTTTCTGGAGCAGGGAACAAACTCCAGACAACTCCCCTGCCTGATTCCCATGGATTCTGTTTCTCCCCCTCTGCAGATTGTTGGAATCAGAACCTCCTTGTTTAGGCTGAATAATTCCCGTGGGAATCGCTGGTGTTGTTTTCCCAAGGGAAAATAAAACACCACCCCCTGGGAGTGCCCGAGGCCAGCTGTGAGTGAGCAGCTGGGGTGGTGGGAGCTGTCCCAGGGGGTGGGATTTGGGATTTTTGGAGGGGGAGCTGGGAGGGGCTCCACGATCCCGGGGTCTCTGGGCTGCCCCAGGGCTGGCACTGGGTGGGATTTGGGGTTTTGGGAGGGGGAGCTGGGAGGGGCTCCACGATCCCAGGGTCTCTGGGCTGCCCCAGCCCTGGGAGTGCCCAGGGCCAGCTCTGAGCAGCCTGGGGTGGAGGGAGCTGTCCCAGGGGGTGGGATTTGGGGTTTTTGGGGGGGGAGCTGGGAGGGGCTCCACAGTCCCAGGGTCTCTGGGCTGCCCAAACCCTGGGAGTGCCCAGGGCCAGCTCCGAGCAGCCTGGGGTGGTGGGAGCTGTCCCAGGGCTGGCACTGGGTGCCATTTAAGGCCCCTTTTTAAGGCCCCCCCATTCCCAGGCGGAGCATCCCGGGCTCCCGAGGTGGGAGCGGCCCTTCCAGCCCCGCCTGTCCCTGGCTCCGGAGGGCACAAAGCTCGTCCCCTGCGGCACGGGCAGAGCTGGGAGCTCATCCCCAGCCCATCCCCATCCCATCCCATCCCATCCCATCCCGGGGCTGCTCCCGCTCCTCCCAGAGCCACGGCAGCATCGCCGGCCCTCGGCATTCCGGGCGGGCAGGAGATGAAGGAGCCGCTCCAGAGCCGCATTCCAGCGGCTCCCGCGGGATCCCTGCGGGGCCGGGACCTGCCCTGCCCCAAAGCACCCCCTGCCTTTGGGGGAAGCAAAGCCCAAATCCCGAGGGTCTCTGTGCTGGAGCTCAAAGGGCTCGGGGCTGGGGGGGGTTCCTGCTCATCCAGGGGTTCCGGAGCAGATGGCACTGCCCTGCACTCCGAGAGGGAGTCCGGGAATATCCAGGGCCTGAAGGGGCTCCAGGAGAGCTGGAGAGGGATTTGGGATGAGGGCTGGAGGGATGGGACACAGGGAATGGCTGCCCAGGGTTAGGGGGGAGATTGGGAAGGGATTTTTGGGGAGGGGCTGGGCTGGAATTCCCAGGGAAGCTGTGGCTGCCCCAGAGCTGGACAAAGGGGAATTGCAGATGGGAATGGCGTGCAGGGACACCCCAGCTCCCCTGTCAGCAGCTGAGCCTGAGCTGGGGCTCGGGGGGCACTTCCCAAAGTGCTTTCCCAAAGGGCTGCAAGGCTGGGAATGCCCTGGGGGGGCTGTGCCAGTGGGGGGGATCAGCAGGGTGGGATCCTGAGGGTGGGATCAGCAGGGATGGATCATCAGGGATGGATCCTGAGGGATGGGATCCTGAGGGATGGGTCATCAAGGATGGATCCTGAGGGTGGGATCATCAGGATGGATCCTGAGGGATGGGATCACCCCCTGTGCTGGCCCTGCTGGGGCACCTCCAACCCTTGGGGCAGGTTTGGGGTCCCCAGTGCAGGACCTGGAGCTGCTGGAGCGGATCCAGAGGGGACACGGGGATGATCCCAGGGCTGGAACCCCTCTGGAGCCAGGCTGGGAGAGCTGGGAATGTTCCCCTGGAGAAGGGAAGGATCCAGGGAGATCCTTGGAGAACCTTGCAGGGCCTGAAGGGGCTCCAGGAGAGCTGGAGAGGGATTTGGGATGAGGGCTGGAGGGACAGCACACAGGGAATGGCTGCCCAGGGTTAGGGGGGATATTGGGAAGGGATTTTGAGGGAGGAACTGGGAGCATGTCCAGGAGAAGGGAGGGGGGAGAGCTCGGGGTGGGGGCCGAGGGGAAGCTGTGGGAGCCATCCCATCCCCCTGGGAGTCACGAGGGAGGATCCCATGACACCCTGTGCCCACCAGTGCCACATCCTGGCACGGGGGAGACAATTGCAGAAGTGGCTCGAGGGGGGAAGGGGGGGGTTGGCAGGAGGGACTCGAGGAGCTCATGGAATGACTGAGGGTGGAAAATCCATCAGAGCCCACCGAGCCCAACCATCCCCCAGCCCTGCCCCTGTCCCCAAGTGCCACCTCCCCAGGGATGGGCAATTCCCTTCCCTCCCAGGGATGGGGATCCAGGGCTGGGCAGCCCCTTCCCAGGAGGGGTTATCCCAAATATCCCAAATAAAGCTCCCCTGGCACAGCTTGGGGCTGTTCCCTTTATCCTGTGCCTGTTCCCTGGGAGCAGAGCCAGATCCCACCTGGATCCTGTCCCCCTGGATTCCCCCTGAAGGCTGAACCCTCCCAGCTCCCTCAGGAGTTCTCCAAACCCTTTCCCAGCTCCATTCCCACCCCCTGGACACGCTCCAGCCCTGCCATGATCCCTCTGCCCTTCCCAATCCCACCAGGAAGGGACCCCTCAGGACATCCCTGGAGCACCCACGGCCTCTTTTTCCAGAGGGGGAACCCGAGGGAGCCGGGACAGGCCGGGCACGAAGCGGGATCAGGCAGAACTTTCCCTGGATCAGAGAATCCTGGGATGCTTCAGGCGGGAAGGGACCCCCAATCCCACCCCGTGCCAGGGGCAAAGTCCCACCCAGTGCCCCCCTTTTCCAGGGAAAGGAGCCCCTTTCCCACAGAATCCCCCCCTCCCCCAGAAGGTACCGTAGCAGAAGACGGATTTCATGTGGTCCTGCTTGGCCATGCCCAGCATGGGCAGCATCGTGCCCAGGATGGAGCTGAGGAAGGCACCATTCCAAACACTGGGAAGGAAACACAGGGAATGCTGGGTCACCACCTGGGAATTCCCAGCGCTGGATCCTGGCTGGATCCCACAGGGAGCGGGGAGAAACCCCCCTGGGTGCATCCTGGAGCCTGAGTTTGCTCCACCTCCATCCTGACTCGGAGCTGCTCCAGAGGCTCTTCCCTCTGGGAAAGGGGGGATCTGCTGGGTGTCCTGGGAACAGGGAGGGTTTTGGGGTGCTGCTCCTCATCCTGCAGGGATGGAGGGATTTGGGATGCCTGTCCAGCCTCCAGAGGCTGCTGGAAGCCTGGATGGCAGCAGGGACAGCTGGGACGGGCCTGGAAATGCCCAGGGAACACAGGAGCCAAATCCCTGTCCTTGGAAATCCCACCCAGCCCAGCCAAACTCTTGGAAGTGCTCAAAAATTGGAGTTGCTGCTCCTTTCCCACAGAGAATTCCCTGCTTGAGCTCCTCTTCCCCACCCAGCCCAGCTGAACTCTTGGAAGTGCTCAAATTCCCTGGACCTGGAGCTGCTCTTCCATGAAATTCCTGCTGACTCTCCTTACCCAGCCCAGCCAAACTCTTGGAAGTGCTCAAAAAGTGCTCAAAATCAGCGGGATTTGGAGCTGCTGCTCCTTTCCCACAGAGAATTCCCTGCCTGGGCTCCTCTTCCCCACCAACCCCCCAGGAATAACCAAGTTTTAAAAACGACTTCTCGGGGCATTTCCAGCCCGGAAAATCCCTTTCCCGAGGCTCAGCTCGGCTCCAGCACCTCCAGAAGTTCCTCTGGAGGCACCCAGGGGTGCTGGAAGCCGAGTTTATCCAGGCCCAGCTCCCACCACTCCCTTCCCAGCCCGCTCACCGTTGGACACGGAGAGGTTGGCGAAGGTCTGCAGGACGAAGTAGTGGGGCAGAATTCCCGGCTGGAATTTGGTCAGCACCTCCTCCATCACCCTGTTGATGAAGCGCTGCCCCACGGCCACCAGGACGTTGCTGGCTGCCTGCTGCCATTCCCAGATCACGTCCTGGGAAGGAGGAACCCCGTCAGGAATGGGGGGAATGTCGGACCTGGATCCCGCCCGGAGCCCGCGGGGCTTCCTTGGGATCCCACAGGAGGGGTTTGGGTGGGAAGGGACCTTCAGGGTCACCCCATCCCACCATCCCAGGGGGATCCAGCCTGGCCTGGGACACTCCCAGGGATCCAGGGGCAGCCACAGCTTCCCTGGGAATTCCAGCCCAGCCCCTCCCCAAAAATCCCTTCCCAATCTCCCCCCTAACCCTGGGCAGCCATTCCCTGTGTGCTGTCCCTCCAGCCCTCATCCCAAATCCCTCTCCAGAATTCCTGGAGCGCCACCAGGGAAGGAAAACAACCTTTAAAGGTCACTTCCAACCCAAACTGTTCCATGATTCCATGAAAATAAACAGGAAAAGCCGCTCAAGCCTTGAGTAACTGAGGGAAAACCGGGATCATTTGGGTTGGAAAGGATCTTAAAGCTCATCCAGTTCCAACCTCCCACCATCCCAGGGGGATCCAACCTGCCCTGGGACACTCCCAGGGATCCAGGGGCAGCCACAGATTCCCTGGGAATTCCAGCCCAGCCCCTCCCCACCCTCCCAGCCAGGAATCCCTTCCCAATATCCCCCCTAACCCTGGGCAGCCATTCTCTGTGTGCTGTCCCTCCAGCCCTCATCCCAAATCCCTCTCCAGCTCTCCTGGAGCCCCTTCAGGCCCTGCCAGGGGCTCTCAGCTCTCCCTGGATCCTTTCCCTTCTCCAGGGGAACATTCCCAGCTCTCCCAGCCTGGCTCCAGCCCTGGGATCATCCCCAGGGCATCACTCCACCCTCTCCAGGATTAGGTGACACAAGAGGCTCCAGGCTCAGCCCTGCCCTCGATCCCACACGGATCTGCAGCTTCCCAAAGCTCTTCCCCTTCCCAATCCCACTCCCAACACCCACCCCGGGTCCCTCCCACATTCCCGGAGCTCCACGAGGGACAGAAACCCCCAACCCAGCCCGCAGGAGCTCGGCCCATCCCGGCAAACCCCAAAGGCTGGAGCTGCCCAGCCCTTCCCTGCTGGGAATCCCGTGGAAAAACCCCCGTGGGAGAGCCCAGCCCTTCCCTGCCGGGGATCCCATGGAAAACCCCCCGTGGGAGATCCCAGGGCCGCACCTTGGACTTGGTCATCTCGCTGGAGGCCAGCAGAATGACCACCTTGGCCGTGCTCTTGTCCAGCAGGTCGATGTTGTTCCTCACCACCGTCTCCATGGCCTTCAGGATGATCACCCGGTGGGGGTAGCCCAGCTGGGACACAGGGGGGATTGTCAGGGTGGGATTGTGAGGGTGGGATTGTCAGGGTGGGATCATCAGGGATGGGATCAGTCAGGGTGGGATTGTCAGGGTGGGATTGTCAGGTGGGATTGTCAGGGTGGGATTGTCAGGAGTGGGATTGTCAGGGATGGGATCACTGAGGTGGGATTGTCAGGGTGGGATTGTCAGGGTGGGATTGTCAGGGTGGGATTGTCAGGGTGGGATTGTCAGGGTGGGATTGTGAGGGTGGGATTGTCAGGGTGGGATCCTGAGGGTGGGATCGTGAGGGTGGGATCGTGAGGGGTGGGATTGTCAGGGTGGGATTGTCAGGGATGGGATTGTCGAGGGTGGGATCATCAGTGAGGATGTGGGATCGTCAGGATGGGATTATCAGGGATGGGATCCTGAGGGTGGGATCATCAGGGTGGGATTGTGAGGGATGGGATTGTGAGGGTGGGATTGTGAGGTGGGATCATCAGGGTGGGATTGTCAGAGGGTGGGATTGTGAGGGTGGGATCATCAGGGGTGGGATTGTGAGGATGGGATTGTCAGGGTGGGATTGTGAGGGGTGGGATTGTGAGGGATGGGATCATCAGGGATGGGATTGTGAGGGTGGGATCAGTGAGGGTGGGATTGTCAGGGTGGGATTGTCAGGGTGGGATTGTCAGGGGTGGGATTGTCAGGGTGGGATTGTGAGGGTGGGATTGTGAGGGGTGGGATTGTCAGGGTGGGATTGTCAGGGTGGGATTGTGAGGGATGGGATTGTCAGGGGTGGGATTGTGAGGGTGGGATTGTCAGGATGGGATCATCAGGGATGGGATCCTGAGGGTGGGATCATCAGGGATGGGATCCTGAGGGTGGGATTGTCAGGGTGGGATCATGAGGGGTGGGATTGTCAGGGTGGGATCCTGAGGGTGGGATTGTCAGGGTGGGATCCTGAGGGGTGGATTGTCAGGGTGGGATTGTCAGGGTGGGATTGTCAGGGATGGGATTGTCAGGGTGGGATTGTGAGGGTGGGATTGTCAGGATGGGATTGTCAGGGTGGGATTGTGAGGGTGGGATTGTCAGGATGGGATTGTCAGGGTGGGATTGTCAGGGTGGGATTGTCAGGGTGGGATTGTCAGGGTGGGATTGTCAGGGTGGGATTGTGAGGGGTGGGATTGTCAGGGATGGATCATCAGAGATGGGATCATCAGGGATGGGATCCTGAGGGATGGGATCATCAGGGTGGGATCGTCAGGGTGGGATCATGAGGGTGGGATCCTGAGGGTGGGATCATCAGGGATGGATCCTGAGGGATGGGATCACCCCCTGTGCTGGCCCTGCTGGGGCACCTCCAACCCTTGGGGCTGGTTTGGGGTCCCCAGTGCAGGACATGGAGGGGCTGGAGCGTGTCCAGGGGTGGGAATGGAGCTGGGAAAGGGTCTGGAGAACTCCTGAGGGAGCTGGGAAGGGTCTGGAGAACTCCTGAGGGAGCTGGGAGGGGGCTCAGCCTGGAGAAAAGGGGGCTCAGGGGGAATTCCAGGGGGACAGGAGGGTGGATCCAGGTGGGATCAGGCTCTGCTCCCAGGGAACAGGGACAGGACGAGGGGAACAACCCCAGGCTGTGCCAGGGGAGCTTTATTTGGGATATTTGGGAAAATCCCTCCTGGGAAGGGGCTGCCCATCCCATTATCCCATCCCTGGGGGGATGGATTGCCCATCCCTGGGGAGGTGGCACTTGGGGACAGGGGCAGGGCTGGGTGGAGCTGGGGGGGATCTGATGGATTTTTTTTCCCCCCTCCCAAACCATTCCCTAATTCCAGGATCTCCAGGCAGAAGGAGCTCAAAGGAATCCCATCCCCACCCCACCAGCACAGGATCCAAGGAAAGAAAAAGCAAAAACCCGGGAAGGGAAATGGAAATCCCAGAGGATCCAAACCCTGGGGGCGACAAAACCCTTGGGAAGTCGGAGAGCTCTCAAAACAAGGAGAGGGGAAAACCGGGAAGGGGGGAACTCCAACCCCCACCTCTCAACATCCTCCCTTCCCAACACCCCCAGAACTCAAGGAAACGCTTCCCAGGCCCCCAGGAATTCCCAGGAATTCCCAGGAATTGCCGGGAATTCCCACCTTGTCGTGCTGCAGAGGGGAAAACCGGGAAGGGGGGAACTCCAACCCCCACCTCCCAACATCCTCCCTTCCCAACACCCCCAGAACTCGAGGAAACGCTTCCCAGGCACCCAGAAATTCCCAGGAATTCCCAGGAATTCCCAGGAACCCAGGAATTCCCAGGAATTCCCAGGGAGTGCCCACCTTGTCGTGCTGCAGAGGGGAAAACCGGGAAGGGGGGAACTCCAACCCCCACCTCCCAACGTCCTCCCTTCCCAACACCCCCAGAACTCGAGGAAACGCTTCCCAGGCACCCAGAAATTCCCAGGAATTCCCAGGAATTCCCAGGAATTCCTGGGAGTGCCCACCTTGTCGTGCTGCAGAGGGGAAAACCGGGAATGGGGGAACTCCAACCCCCACCTCCCAACGTCCTCCCTTCCCAACACCCCCAGAACTTCGAGGAGGCGCTTCCCAGGCCCCCAGAAATTCCCAGAAATTCCCAGGAATTCCCACCTTGTCGTGCTGCAGAGGGGAAAACCGGGAATGGGGGAACTCCAACCCCCACCTCCCAACGTCCTCCCTTCCCAACACCCCCAGAACTTCAAGGAAACGCTTCCCAGGCCCCCAGAAATTCCCAGGAATTCCCAGGAATTCCCAGGAACTCCCACCTTGTCGTGCTGCCGGAGGTACTCGTCGCAGCAGTGCAGGATCTCCTCGGGCTCGGCCTGGCCCAGCACGCACAGGGCCTGCGAGATCTGCTCCTGCACCTGCGGCTCCCTGTCCGTCGTGGCGTCCATCAGCGTCGTGGCCAGCCCTGGGTGGGAGCGGGGGGAGCCTCTGGAATTGCCCCTGGTTTGGCACAGGGAGATTCCGGGGGTTCCCAGGGGTATTCCCGTCGGAATTGGGCTCTGCCGTGCAGATTGAACCCTCCTTCCAAAGGGCGTTTTCCGGGCTCATCCTGGGATTATCAACTCAAATCCCCTGATCCCAGCCCTTCCCATTCCAGGGAATCCCACAGGGGCTCATCCAAACCCCCTGATCCCAGCCCTTCCCATTCCAAAGGGGCTCATCCAAACCCCCTGATCCCAGCCCTTCCCGTTCCAGGGAATCCCACAGGGGTTCATCCAAATCCCCCTGATCCCAGTCCTTCCCATTCCAGGGAATCCCACAGGAGCTCATCCATCCTCATCCAAACCCCCTGATCCCAGCCCTTCCCATTCCAAAGGGGTTCATCCAAACCCCCTGATCCCAGCCCTTCCCATTCCAAAGGGGTTCATCCAAACCCCCTGATCCCTGATCCTTCCCATTCCAAAGGGGTTCATCCAAACCCCCTGATCCCAGCCCTTCCCATTCCACAGGGGCTCATCCAAACTGTTTTTCCAGGCCCATCCCGGGATAACTCAACTCAACCCCCTGATCCCAGGCCTTCCCATTCCAGGGAATCCCACAGGGGCTCATCCATCCTCATCCAAACCCTTTGCTGGGTCCACAATTTGGGATAACTCAACTCAAATCCTCTGATCCCAGCCCTTCCCATTCCAAAGGGGCTCTTCCAAACCCCCTGATCCCAGCCCTTCCCATTCCAGGGAATCCCACAGGGGCTCATCCAAACCCCCTGATCCCAGCCCTTCCCGTTCCAAAGGGGCTCATCCAAACCCCCTGATCCCAGCCCTTCCCATTCCAAAGGGGCTCATCCAAACCGTTTTTCCAGGCCCATCCCGGGATAATCAACTCAAATCCCCCTGATCTCAGCCCTTCCCATTCCAGGGAATCCCACAGGAGCTCATCCATCCTCGTCCAAACCCTTTGCTGGGTCCACCATTTGGGATAACTCAACTCAAACCCCTGATCCCAGCCCTTCCCATTCCAAAGGGGCTCATCCAAACCCTCTGATCCCAGCCCTTCCCGTTCCAAAGGGGCTCATCCAAACCCTCTGATCCCAGCCCTTCCTGTTCCAAAGGGGCTCATCCATCCTTATCCAAACTGTTTTTCCAGGCCCATCCCGGGATAACTCAACTCAAACCCCTGATCCCAGCCCTTCCCATTCCAAAGGGGCTCATCCAAACCTTTTTTCCAGGTCCATCCCAGGATAACTCAACTCAAACCCCTGATCCCAGCCCTTCCCATTCCAGGGAATCCCACAGGAGCTCATCCATCCTCATCCAAACCCTTTGCTGGGTCCACAATTTGGGATAACTCAACTCAAACTCCCTGATCCCAGCCCTTCCCATTCCAAAGGGGCTCATCCAAACCCCCTGATCCCAGCCCTTCCCATTCCAAAGGGGCTCATCCAAACCCCTGATCCCAGCCCTTCCCATTCCAAAGGGGATCCTTGAGGGGCATCCATCCTCATCAAACTGTTTTCCAGGCCCATCCTGGGATTTAATTTTCCCCCCAAACACCCCCCACTTTGCGAATTTTCCCAAAGAATTCCTAATTTGGGGATTTTTTTTCCCCCCCAAAAAAGTCCCACAGCTTTGGCCAAATTTTTTTCCCATTTTGGGAATTTTTTCCCCCCAAAAAAACCCCTTTATTTTTGGGATTTTTTTTCCCCAAAAGACACCCAGTTCTGAGGATATTTTTTTCCCATTTTAGGGATTTTTTTCCCCAAAAGACCCCCAATTCTGAGGATATTTTTTTCCCATTTTGGGGATTTTTTCCCCCCAAAAAACCTTTATTTTTGGGATTTTTTTTTCCCCAAAAGACCTCCAATTCTGAGGATATTTTTTCCCATTTTGGGAATTTTTTCCCCCCAAAAAAACCCCTTTATTTTTGGGATTTTTTTTCCCCAAAAGACACCCAGTTCTGAGGATATTTTTTTCCCATTTTAGGGATTTTTTTCCCCAAAAGTCCTCCAATTCCGAGGATATTTTTTCCCATTTTGGGAATTTTTTCCCCCAAAAAACCTCTTTATTTTTGGGATTTTTTTTTCCCCAAAAGTCCCCCAATTCTGAGGATATTTTTTCCCATTTTGGGGATTTTTTCCCCCAAAAAAACCTTTATTTTTGGGATTTTTTTTTTCCCCAAAAGACCTCCAATTCTGAGGATATTTTTTCCCATTTTAGGGATTTTTTTCCCCAAAAGACCCCCAATTCTGAGGATATTTTTTTTCCCCTTTTGGGAATTTTTTTCCCAAAAGAAACCCCTTTATTTTGGGGTTTTTTTTTCCCCAAAAGACCTCCAATTCTGAGGATATTTTTTCCTATATTGGGGATTTTTTCCCCCAAAAAAACCTCTTTATTTTTGGGATTTTTTTCCCAAAAGACCCCCAACTTTGAGGATATTTTTTTCCCATTTTGGGGATTTTTTTCCCCCAAAAAAACCCCTTTATTTTTGGGATTTTTTTTCCCCCAAAAGACATCCAATTCTGAGGATATTTTTTTCCCATTTGGGGGATTTTTTCCCCCAAAAAAACCCTTTATTTTTGGGATTCTTTTTTCCCCAAAAGACCCCCAACTTTGAGTGTTTTTTTTCCCATTTTGGGGATTCTTTTCCTCAAAAAAACCCCTCCATTTTCAGAATATTTTTTCCCCCAAAACACCTCCCACTTTAGGGATTTTCCTCCCCACTTCTGGGATGTGTTTTTCTCCCCAAAAAACCTTCCATTTTCAGGATATTTTTTTCCCAAAACACCTCCCACTTTAGGGATTTTCCTCCCCACTTCTGGGATTTTTTTCTCCCCAAAAAACCTCCCATTTTCAGGATATTTTTTCCCACTTTAGGGATTTTCACCCCCTCTTTTGGTTGGGTTTTTTTTTCCCCAAAACACCCCACATTTTTTGCAATATTTTTTCCCCTAAAACACTCTTTTTGTGGACCACTTTTTTCCCACTTTGTGGAATTTTTTCCCCCTTTTCCCAAACTCCTGGAGCTCTTGGGGGCCGCACCGAAACCGCTGCTCCCCCTAATCCCTATTCCCACCCTTCCCACACCGGGAATGTCCTCATTCCCAAAAAACAGAGCACCCAAGCAGGACAGGGATTCATTCCCGGGATTCCTCGAGGAACTGGCACCGCTTGGAGCACCCTGAGCTGCTGCATTTACAGCAGGGACAAGGCCTGGGATTTAATTTCCAGGGCAGGGAATTACGGGGCCGGGAGCAGCTCCCCCTCCTCCCACCCCCCTTCCCGGCTGTTTAACCTGGTTATCCAGCAGTAATTCCCATTCCCAAGGAAAAGCCAGGCCTGAGGAGGAGGAGGGGAAAAAGGGGAGAAGGGGAGAAGCTCACGTTTGATCCGGGATTCCATCATGCTCCGTGTTTCCAGCTTCCCCAGGAGCAGCTCGGCACCCCCCTCCGGATAACGGCCCGGGATCCCCGGAGAATCCACCTTGGATTCGCTCCCAGGGAGAGGAGGGAACCTCTGATCCACCTGGGAATGAGGAGGGAGCTTCAGATCCACCTGGGAATGAGGAGGGAGGTTCTGATCCACCTGGGAATGAGGAGGGAGCTTCTGATCCACCTGGGAATGAGGAGGGAGCTTCTGATCCACCTGGGAATGAGGAGGGAGCTTCTGATCCACCTGGGAATGAGGAGGGAGCTCCTGATCCACCTGGGAATGAGGAGGGAGCTTCTGATCCACCTGGGAATGAGGAGGGAGCCTCTGGTCCGGCTGGGAAAGGAGGTGGAAGCTTTTATCCACCTGGGAATGAGGAGGGAGCTTCTGATCCAGCTGGGAATGAGGAGGGGGCTTCTGATCCAGGTGGGAATGAGGAGGGAGGCTCTGCTCCAGCTGGGAATGAGGAGGGAGCTTCTTATCCAGGTGTGGAAAGGAGAGGGAGGTTCTGATCCAGCTGGGAATGAGGAGGGAGCTTCTGATCCACCTGGGAATGAGGAGGGAGGCTCTGATCCCGGTGTGGAAAGGAGATGGAGGGTCTAATCCAGCTGGGAATGAGGAGGGAGCTTCTGATCCACCTGGGAATGAGGAGGGGGCTTCTGATCCACCTGGGAATGAGGAGGGAGCTTCTGATCCAGGTGGGAATAAGGAGGGAGCTTCTTATCCGGGTGTGGAAAGGAGAGGGAGGCTCTGATCCCGGTGGGAATGAGGAGGGAGGCTCTGCTCCACCTGGGAATGAGGAGGGAGGCTCTGATCCAGGTGGGAATGAGGAGGGAGGCTCTGCTCCAGCTGGGAATGAGGAGGGAGGCTCTGCTCCAGCTGGGAATGAGGAGGGAGGCTCTGCTCCAGCTGGGAAAGCCGAGGCCGGGCACAGCAGGGGCAGGACCCGCTCCAGCAGCCGCGGGACACCGGAATTCCTGGAGCTGGACGATCCCTGCCCGCTCCCGGCTCTTCCATCAGCCCGGGGCCGTCCCTATCCCGGTGGGAGCCGGCGCATCCCGCGGTCCCTCCTCCTCTTCCCCGGGTCCTGCGGGAGGGCAGGACGATGTTTTACACCCCCAGCCACCCCCGGGAAGACGAATCCCCCCCTCTGGAACGGCGGCCCCGGGATCCGGCGGGTGCCCCACTAGCGGATCCCGCGGGATCCCGGGCCCTGCTCCAAATATTTGGCCCTAAAAAGCCGCGGAGGGGAGCGGGGGAGGGAAGTTTCCAGCACCTGGAAAGGGCCGGGAGTTCTGGGCGGGGAGCTCTGGGCGGGCTCGGCCCCTTGGGCTGAGCGAGCAAGGGCGAGTTTTTAGGGAAAAGAGGATTTAAGGGATGACATTCCAGACTTTTCCAGCCGCTCCGAGGCCGGCGGTGCCCTCGGGGAGCGGGATCGTTCCCTGGCCTTGCCCGGGACACCGCGGCCTTTCCTCAAGGACATTGAGCCGCGCTCAGTTCCCTCTGGAATTTGGGAGGGATTCCCAGCCCTGAGGGCTCTGGATCCTCGGACATTCCCACCCCCGGGGGGGCTCGGGATCCTCGGCATTCCCACCCCCGGGGGAAATCGGGATCCTCGGACATTCCCACCCCTGGGGGCTCGGGATCCTCGGACATTCCCACCCCTGGGGGGGCTCGGGATCCTCGGGCATTCCCATTCCCACCCCCGGGGGGGCTCGGGATCCTCGGACATTCCCACCCCTGGGGGGGCTCGGGATCCTCGGACATTCCCACCCCTGGGGGGAGCTCGGGATCCTTGGACATTCCCACCCCCGGGATCTCGGGATCCTCGGACATTCCCACCCTGGAGCTCGGATCCTTGGACATTCCACCCCGGGATCTCAGGATCCTCGGACATTCCCACCCCCGAGGGGGCTCGGGATCCTCGGACATTCCCAGCCCTGGGGAAATCAGGATCCTCGGACATTCCCACCCCGGGGGCTCGGGATCCTCGGCATTCCCACCCCCGGGGGTCCCGAGGTTTGTCCCCAGCGGTGGTGAAGCCCCCCCGGGGAAGGGGGGGGTCATTCCCACCAGGAATGGGAAAAAGGGGGAGCCCTGGGAAGGGGGGGGATAATTCGGGGAGGGGGCACCGCTGTCAGGTGGGGGGTCCCTAAATAGGCTCTGGGGCTCCATGCCCAGCCAGGGGCCCCCGTGGGAAGCCCCGTGGGAGGTTATTCCCTCCAGGAATGAGGAAAAGGGTCGGGGGGGACAGGGAGGTTCCCGACTGGGGAAATGGGGGTAAAAGGAGGTGGGGACACACCTGTGCCAGATAGGGGGATCCTAAATAGGTTCCAGAGCTCCATCCCCATGGGAATCCCCAGAGTTGGGATGGGGGTTTCCAAAAAGGGGGGACATTGCGAGGGGGTGTCCCGCCCAGGCCTCAGAGCCCCCGCCAACCGCAGGTGGGTCCCTCCCCACGCCGTGTGCCCCATCCTCGTCGTCTCCGTCCTCCCCTCCACCCCAAAAATCCCCCAAAATCCCTATCCCCAAATCCCCCCCCAAAATCCGAACTCACCGCGATCGCTCCGGGACGCGCCCGGCGCCGCTTCCGGGTGCGGTGACCACGCCCCTCTTAAGGCCACGCCCATAACCACGCCCTCCCGCTGGCGCTGAGGGTGCTGATTGGCTGAGCGCGGAAAGGGGCGGGGCCCTCTGGGCCCGCTCCGACAGCGCCCCCTAGCGGGGTCGGACTCCAAATTCACCCCAGTGCTCCCAGTACAGCCCAGTGCTCCCAGTACACCCAGTGCCGCACTCCAGTGCTCCCAGTACAGCCCAGTCCCACACCCCAGTGCTCCCAGTACAGCCTAGTGCCGCACCCCAGTGCTCCCAGTACAGCCCAGTGCTCCCAGTACAGCCCAGTGCCGCACTCCAGTGCTCCCAGTACAGCCCAGCACCACACCCCAGTGCTCCCAGTACAGCCCAGTGCTCCCAGTACAGCCCAGTGCCGCACCCCAGTGCTCCCAGTACAGCCCAGTGCTCCCAGTACAGACCAGTGCTCCCAGTACAGCCCAGTGCTCCCAGTACAGACCAGTGCCGCACCCCAGTGCTCCCAGTACAGACCAGTGCTCCCAGGACAGCCCAGTGCTCCCAGTACAACCCAATGCTCCCAGTACAGCCCAGTGCTCCCAGTACAACCCAGTGCTCCCAGTACAGCCCAGTGCTCCCAGTACAGCCCAGCACCACACCCCAGTGCTCCCAGTACAGCCCAGTGCTCCCAGTACAGCCCAGTGCCGCACCTCAGTGCTCCCAGTACAGCCCAGTGCTCCCAGTACAGCCCAGTGCTGCACCCCAGTGCTCCCAGTACAGCCCAGTGCCGCACTCCAGTGCTCCCCGTACAGCCCAGTGCTCCCAGCACAGCCCAGTGCTCCCAGTACACCCAGTGCCGCACCCCAGTGCTCCCAGTACAGCCTAGTGCTCCCAGTACAGCCCAGTGCTCCCAGTACAGCCCAGTGCCACACCCCAGTGCTCCCAGCACAGCCCAGTGCTCCCAGTACAGCCCAGTGCCACACCCCAGTGCTCCCAGTACAGCCCAGTGCCACACCCCAGTGCTCCCAGTACAGCCCAGTCCCGCACCCCAGTGCTCCCAGTACAGCCCAGTGCTCCCAGTACAGCCCAGTGCCGCACTCCAGTGCTCCCAGTACAGCCCAGTGCTCCCAGTACAGCCCAGTGCTCCCAGTACAGCCCAGCACCGCACCTCAGTGTTCCCAGTACAGCCCAGTGCCTCACTCCAGTGCTCCCAGTACAGCCCAGTGCTCCCAGTACAGCCCAGTGCTCCCAGTACAGCCCAGTGCTCCCAGTACAGCCCAGTGCCGCACTCCAGTGCTCCCCGTACAGCCCAGTGCTCCCAGTACAGCCCAGTGCTCCCAGTACAGCCCAGTGCTCCCAGTACAGCCCAGTGCCGCACTCCAGCTCCCTGCTCCGCTCGGCTCTGCCCCTCCCATCTCCACCCAGTTTGCCCCAATTGGTCCCAGTTGGTCCCAGTTTGCCCCGGTCGGTCCCAGTTGGTCCCAGTTGGGCTGTGCCGGACTCTGCCCAACCCAGTTGGTCCCAGTTGGTCCCAGTTGGTCCCAGCCCAGCCCCCGACTCGGTGACACTCGGGTCCAGGACCCCAGGGTGGGCACCAGCGGGGAGGGGAGTGCCAGGGGAGGGGGGGGCAGCGAGAGACCCCCGGCACTGGAGCCTGCCCAGTACAACCAGTGCCCCCAGTACAACCAGTGCAACCAGTACAACCAGTGCCCCCAGTGCTCCCTGTGCCACCAGTGCCACCAGTACAACCAGTGCCACCAGTACAACCAGTGCAACCAGTACAACCAGTGCCCCCAGTGCTCCCTGTGCCACCAGTGCCACCAGTACAACCAGTGCCACCAGTACAACCAGTGCCTCCAGTACAACCAGTGCTCCCAGTGCTCCCTGTGCCACCAGTGCTCCCAGTGCTCCCAGTATCCCCAGTGCTTCCAGGGCCTCAGTGAAACCAGTCCTCCCAGTGCCCCCCAGTGACCCCAGTGCTCCCAGGCCCCCCAACATCTCCAGTGCTCCCCCAGTATCCCCAGTGCTTCCAGGGCCTCAGTGAAACCAGTCCTCCCAGTGCCCCCAGTACAACCAGTGCCCCCAGTGCTCCCTGTGGCACCAGTGCCCCCAGTACAACCAGTGCCCCCAGTGCTTCCAGGGATGCAGTGAAACCAGTCCTCCCAGTGCCCCCCAGTGCCCCCAGTGCTCCCAGGACCCCCAACATCTCCAGTGCTCCCCCAGTGCTCCCCCAGTATCCCCAGTGCTTCCAGGTGCAGCCCCAGCCTCCACCCCACAGGACCAGCAGGACCCCCACCTGATCCCCCCATCCCTGCAGCCCCCAGATCCATCACCCCAATTCCTGCAGCCCCCAGATCCATCACCCCAATTCCATGCAGCCCCCAGATCCATCCCCCAATCCCCATCCTGACATCCCCCAACTCCATGTGCCCCCATCCCCCAATTCCCGCACCCCCTCAGCCCCATCCCCCAATTCCCTGCAGCCCCCAGATCCATCACCCCAATTCCCTGCAGCCCCCAGATCCATCACCCCCAATCCCCATCCTGACATCCCCCAACTCCATGTCCCCCATACCCCAATTCCCTGCAGCCCCTCCATCCCCTGCAGCCCCCAGATCAATCCCCCAATCCCCATCCTGACATCCCCCAACTCCATGTCCCCCATCCCCCAATTCCCTGCAGCCCCCAGTTCCTGCAGCCCCCAGCCCCATCACCCCAGTTCCCTGCAGCCCCCAGCCCCATGACCCCATTCCCAGCCCTCCAGCCCCCAGTCCATCCCCCAATTCCCTGCAGCCCCCAGCCCCATCACCACAATTCCCTGCAGCCCCCAGATCCATCCCCCAATCCCCATCCTGACATCCCCCAACTCCATGTGCCCCCTCCCCCAATTCCCTTCACCCCCAGATCCATCACCCCAATTCCCTACAGCCCCCAGATCCCATCACCCCAATTTCCTGCAGCCCCCAGCCCTATGACCCGAATTCCCAGCCCTCCAGCCCCATCACCCCAATTCCCTGCAGGCCCCCAGATCCATCCCCCAATTCCCTGCAGCCCCAGCCCTATGACTCCCATTCCCAGCCCTCCAACGCCCCAGTCCATCCCCCAGTTCCCTGCAACCCCCATCCCATCCCATTCCCTCCCGTCCCCACCCTCCAATTCCCTGCACCCCCAATCCTTGCACCCCCCCCGTGTCACACCCTCCCCCGGTGTCCCATCCCTCCCCCTTGTGTCCCATCCCTCCCTCCCCGGTGTCACAACCCTCCCCCCTCCTGTCCCATCCCTCCCCCGGTGTCACTAGCCCTCCCCCTTGTGTCCCATCCCTCCCTCCCCCGGTGTCCCATCCCTCCCTCCCCTCGGTGTCCCATCCCTCCCTCCCCGGTGTCGCCTCCCCTTTGTTGTGCAAAGGGCCCGCTGTCGCTGTCGCTGTCGCTGTCGCTGTC